TGTCAAACGATTATTCTTCTCCTGCAGAATAGGATTTCATAATGTGTCAAATTCATCATTATATATTTTTTGTCATATTTTATGTTCATAGTACAGTGTACATGTAGTATGTTATATTAAATGTCAATGATTTATAGATCCTTTGGGTCAGATGTGAGAAATGAAGTTTTTTGTAAAACTTACTATATTCTTTCATAATTTACAGCACAAACAATAAATAAATTACCAGTATGTAAATTATACTTTTAAACAAATGTATATTTTGCAAGTGTTGTACATTATTTAGAACCAAAATATCCATCCTTTGGACATGAATTGCTCAAATTTGTATCTTCAGGGCAGAGGTCATTTAAGGACGTTCGATCCTGAGCTTTTGAGCAGATTTTGGTCTGAAGCTTTATTTCTAAAATTCTGCATTATTTTTAAGTTCTAACATTAAATCTGGATTCTACAATGCAAATTATACTATATCCAATGAAAAAAACGCGATTAAATTCCATTCAAATAGGATTAAGCCAGGAACTATATTTTGTGGCGGAAGATTTTTTAGAAGAAAATGATCATTTTTTCCCTTTTGAAATATATACAGTACTGTTAAGTTTAGATTCCTATTTTTCCATGCTGGTTGCACACAGAGCTATTTTGTGCATTGAAATGTTTAATGCTGGTTCTAAAATATTAATTAAATCAGTTTTTGTGAATTCTATCATCATATTGTGACAAATATAGAAAATATATTCTGAAACTCCAGGAAAAAATTGAGCCAATTTTATCACAAAATTAACAGTTTTTTAGTAATATCTAAAAAATAACATCATAGTCCTCCTCTTTTGATTTTCTTTTCTGAATATATAAGATAACTCTGATCAATCTACTTAGATTCAGCAAAAGTTTAAGACTTTATATATACATTTGTGGTATCTCTCTATTATATAAACATGCAGAGAGCAAATATCTTCATACCTGTATGAAGTTTTTCAAAGGTCAAAGGTCATTACGTGACCTAATCACACAGCGCAGTGATATGTACATAAAAAGACTTACTCCACTAAGCAATATAGCATGTTTTTCATGCATAAAAATGTACAAAATACGCAAGTAAAATAATAATCATTTTATTTACAATGTAAACGAGTATTTAATACAGTTCTTGATCGATTTTACATAGAGAATAGAAAACTACGTGTTATAAGTTTCATGTCTGAGCTGCATAGTCTCAACGTTTACCCTTATTTTTCTCGCAGACCTCTGAATGTTATAATTTTTTTTCCATTAAACTTTACTCACAATAAATTTGAAAATCTGTTGAAAAATATCAATGTAATGCAATCACGCCACAAACAGCTGAAAAACACTGCACTTTGGAAGTTCGGTAGGCACACCTCGATCATCGAGATCTTTGTAAGCTGTCGCCAGTGTCTCCATGTCAATATAATAAATTAATAAATATGCCTTACTGAAATCGTAGATTGTATGTTTTTGATCAAATTTCGTACTTGATTTCAAGTTATCCGGTCCGGACAAGTGTCTCCATCCATCCCTTTTCGACCGAAATTCCTCCAACTTTTTATTATCAAACATCGGACGTGTTTCTTGTGTTTTTAAACATCGAATATGGGTGAATACAAAAATTCCCAGACACCATTATGCTCACTATAATTGATGACAAGTAGCCTTTCACAGATTATTCCCTTCAAAACAGAATCCTTTGCCAGATGAATTTGAAGCGTAACCGCTTTTCAAGCCGATCTACACCTAGCGTAATTTGTCAAAATCTACGGCGCACAGTTAGTGCAATATTTATATTCGATTACATTCGATTGTCCGTCTCAAATGTATATATAAGTAATAAATAACAAGTTTAAAAACTTCAATGGGAATTGAAGTGGGTCAGTACGTGATCAAATCTTCTGAGAAGGCCTTCGGCCTTCACAGGATTTGATCACGTGACCGACCCACTTCAATTCCCATTGAAGTTTTTAAACTTGTTATTTATTTCTTAAAAAATATTTTTCTTGCTTGTTAAATTTTTAATGCCCGAAAAATGACATTTTGTGAGTGCAGAAAGGTCAAATAATTGATTATGCGAAGCAATTTGAAAATTTTTCTTTGTCACAATTTTAATGTGTCTTTTTTAAGAGAGAATAATAGCATACTTTGTCCCATGATTTATTTGTATAAAAAATATTGGAGGGAAAACGTCGAAGATGTTATTTTTGATTAAGACACAAATTCAGTGCAAAAAGGTCATTTTAAATGTACTGTAGCGCCAAAAGAAGCATATTGATCCCCATATTTTGTTTTGATTTTTAAATAAGCTATGTGTGTACAAGCTAAAAATATACTTGACAAAAAAAGTTTAAGACTTTAAATATCAGGATCCAACATCGTTAAGGAATGTTTTTAAGTTTTGTGTGAGTTATTGGTGTGTAAATCACACAGACTTGTCACGTAGGCATATTTCATGAAGCGCGCTAGCGCTTCATGAAAAATATGCCTACGTGCAAGTCTGTGTGATTTACACACCAATAATTCACATTAAACTTAAAAACATTCCTTATACATGTATTTACATTTTATATGCTTAAATGCACCAAAAATATACTCAGTGTTTGAATTTCTCGCTGCCCTATATCGTCATATTTTTATTAACGTCTCTGTAGCCTCATTGTGACGTCACTTTAGGTCGAGTTTCGACGTCTATATTTCTACGCGTGAGTATACACAAAAATGACTTTCAAATCAATTTCACAGTAAGCTTAGTATAAAAACACAGCAAATGTAAATATTCACTTATATTGAAGCACAATAATATTACCTTGATATTCCAGCTTTATAAAAATATTTACATAGATCTCAATGAAACTTTAATAACATTTTAAGTCCCTATATTTTATTTACATTGATGAATGTGATATTGTTATCAAGTTATTTTGTTATGTGTGTGTGAGGGTGTGTGTGTTATCTCAATTCTGTCGTAAATGATGACTTTCATAAAAAAAATAAAATTTCTAAATGCCCTTTTCACACATTCATACAAAACCTTTTTCACACACCATTTTCATTTTACATTGCCATTTGCAGTTTTAATAGTTGTATTAAATAATAAAAGACAATACAAATGTATGTTTTCTTTTTTACTCTGTAAATATGACAAATTACATATTTCTGTAATGTATGTTAATATATATATTAATGTATATACTTTTTGAACAGCAATGAAAAAATAAATGAACTGAATGAAATGTTTCTGTCCTTTCTTTGTGACGTGATCTCCTGGTACAAAACTTCATCTTGTTAGAAAAGTATAGTGATTCCCTTCCATCATAACCATTTCATTTATTAATTTTGAGGGTATGACTTCATACATTCAAGTACTTTTCTATCAAGGTGCAAAAATATATCATTCATTAACCCCTGAGATTAAAACATAATTTACTTTTATAATTAACAAAATTCCTCAGCAAAAAGAAATTTCACTGTTGACGTATCACAACATATATTGAAAATTATGCAGAATTCGGACAAAATATCGTTGATATGCAGAAGAAGAATATAAATTGAATGAGACTTTACAAAAGCACAGGACAGTATATTTGAAATATACATACATATACACAGAATAACTACTAAAGTATAAACATTTAAAACATAAACAAAACCTAATAACACGACAAATTTGGCAGTTTTCTACCAATGTACTTGTGGGACTATTTCTGTTTCAATGCCTCCATGCACTGATAATGGAGATATATCTCCCAGACAGATATTCCTCAATTAAAAACCTCCCAGATTGTGGGTTATAGGTCAATAACCTCATTAGTCTGTCATGTAGGAGATCTACTTCAATACCAGTACAAGATTGTTATGACTGATACGCATCTGTGAGCTCATTTAGATTTTAGATGGCCTTTAAATAGAGGTGTTTTAATATTGTACTAAATACCTATACTCCTTATTAAATCAAACTAGGGTAAAACTTTGGACTAAGTTTATATCTGAAAACAAGGATGATATTGTTTTTTTTAGGTTAACCATTCAGAGCATTAAAGCCAACACAGGTTGGAAGTCCCATGTTATGAAATTTACTTAACTGCCTTAAATAGCATATTGATGGGTTTAAAATAAAATTCAAATGTATAAATTCAACAAAAACGCATCTGAAAACACATAATGACAAAATAATATTAGATATCACTCTCTGTTATCCTGATTTTGTTAAAAATATATTAAAAAATATATATTGAATACATTCTTAAGTTCGGCACATGAGACATACACACATTTTAATGTACATGCAAGGTCAACTTTTTTCCCTACAGTTGTAACTGAAAACTCTTTTTCTCATTAAAGCATTTAGTTCATATTTAATACAGAATTCCAAAAAGATTGTAAAAAATAAATTAACACTTTTTTTCAGATTACAAAAAAATACCTCTGCTCTTCAGCAGATGTTAGAAAAGTATATTTTCAGAATAACAGGGCAAAATTTAGTTTTCTATACCATTTAAACCAATGCATAATGCATACGAAACTTATTGAATTTCATCTTATAAAATTTCTCTTTGTCATCAAGAATCACTTTCTATTTCCCACTCATTGTTTCAGAGTACAAAAATAACAACTGCATTTCATCAGCTGTTTGAAAGAAAAAGTCTGACAACAGGGTACAGTTTAGTTTCTATACTATTTTAACCAATGCATAATACTTATGAAACTTCATAAATTTCAGACTTCATCTTGGAGAATTTTTTCTGTACTTGTATCATGAAAAGAAAATATTGAAACTGAAAAGGTTCATTATCCTGGTTTTTCCATGTAGATAAGACCAATTTCCTCCCAGATTTTCTAATTTCTTACTCATTGCTGCATGTGAAAGATGTGGGATTTCCAAACAAAGAACAAAGCAAGTGGAATCCCCTATATTTCCCATATGAGCTTATGGAATCCCCCCTGGATTTCCCAGATAAAGAGGGACTCAACACAAGCGTCCACTATGATCACCCTCCCCCTGAAGCCTCTTCTGCCTGGGGTTCCTCCTTTATCTCCTCCAGCCCCAGGGCCTTTAGGATGTCATTAGGTTTGACATAAACACTGGGATCCTCCTGTTTATAGCTGTATATTACCTCTGATCCACCTGTGTGAAATAAATAAAGTGTCACACTTACTTAATTTGAAATATATACAGTCATATTAGTCTATGAAATAATAAATTCTCTCGGTATATTATATTTCATTTTTTTGTCATATTTTGTTTTTGATTTGGTTTACTATTTTTTTTTTTTGGGGGGGGGGGGGGCATATCAGTTACATAAGAAAAAGAATTCCCCAGAAAAAAAAACTTAGAAATTTGAGCAAGTTCATGGATGTCTTCATCTTGTGGATAAGTAAATACCAGTATCAATAAACATGCAAACATACAGAAGACTTTATAATATATTCATAAATGTTACAGACTGGAATGAATGCAAACTTCCACAGATACATGTACCTCTCGGATCTTCAATCAAAGACAAAGGATTACAAAGTACTACAGTAAATTCCTTCTGTATCCTAAATGCCAACTTATTAGTTATTTTTACCTAACCTCATGCAAATTCTGATAAGACTCTGCAGGTTCTCATGTTCTGTTTTCTGAAAAACTCCATTCTATTTCATACTTTGATAATGTCAAAGCAAAAATATTTTGAGGGAATAAAGTTAGGATGACAGAAAATGTTAAATGTATGAAGGAGTAGATATAAAAACAAAAATACAGAGTCATCCATTATTACAGTCTTTTTCTTGACTTCCTTTCCTATCCATTAAAATAAATTAGAGGCTTAAAGACAAAGAATGGTCACTTGAGTATCACCACAAATGAGTAGTTCCAATACTTTTTGTGTCTGAAAAAATTTTGGTGGCACTGTAGCTCTCTGGTCATCCATCCTAATTTTTTCAAACCAGCGAGCTACAGATCTGCAGCTACTCTGTGACAAAAGTAGGTGTCATGAAGACCAGCTAAAATGACAACTCAGTACATCTTTGATATTATTCTATTTTTAATGTCATTATTTTCATTATTAATTTTTTATAGGAAATTTAATAAAATTAATAAATTTACTATTTTTGTAATTATCTATAGGCTGAGTAATTTGGTTTAATATATACTTTCTTCAAATAGCTACAGTACAATTAAACAGTTATAGAATTGATATGATGGAAATATAAATGTTATGGTCCCCCTCTAGGCAGGAAAATATATATTATTGGCCTTGGGAATCAATTTTCTCCCATTGGGGGGAGGGGGGGGGGTGCCATTTCACCCATTTTCATTCTACATATATATGCAAAGTATTATAATTGATTGAGACACTCACCAGCCTTCACAATAAGAGCACCTCCATTCTGAAATCCATCTCCTTTCATGTTTCCGTCAATATTCTGTTCTTTTGCCTGGTGAATTCAACATTAAAGTCTCATGCCATTATAAGAAACAATAGGAAGATGAATATTGCAATAGGTTACTGAATATAGGAATCAAAATAATTTTCATGAAGCAAATATAATATTTTTTAATAAATTTGTGTAAATTGGAAAATTATGATGAAAATATACCATTTGAGTTTGCCTAAGCAAAAAAAACATACTTAGCCATTCATTATGAACCCCATCAAGTAAAAATTTGTTCCTATATAGATCAAAACTAAAAAAGTCTAACATTTCTAATGTTTTACTGAGCGTGCATAAAAAAATCGATGTTTGACCGCGGAATGAGATATTGGACCTGTCGATGAGATATTGGACCTATTACGTCACATAATGGGTGGGGTCAGCTAAATCTCATTTGCATCCGTTGGTGTTCGACATACATGTATGTCAAAAAGTAATATTGATAAAATAAATAAATAAAAGGTATAACAAAACATTTATTGACTGCGTTCTCGGGCAAAATGCGTTTTGTCATCCCCTTGAACCAAACTCTTTGCCTTCGGCCTAATGGCCTCTGGCAAACAGTTTGGTTCTTGGGTCCCACAAAATGCATGTTGCCCTCGAACCTAGTCAATAAATGTATAATGTTATACCTTCCTTTCATTTATATTTTGATATACCTAATATATAAAAGTGTGAAAAATCAATGAACCACACTGGGTTACACTTAAACTGAATTATTACAATTCTTACTGAATTGTGTGAAAAATCAATGAACCACACTGGGTTAAACTTTACATGTAACTGAATTATTACAATTCTTACTGAATTGTGTGAAAAATCAATGAACCACACTGGGCTAAACTTAAACTGAATTATTACAATTCTTACTGAACTAAAAGAATGTCACCTAATAAGCTAAAAATATGTGACTCCCATTCAAGGATCACTAGATCTTTATAGAACTAGAACTATTTTTCTAGAACTGATGAAAAAGCAGCCACAATATACATGTATAAGTCAAACAATTCCTCATACCTTTGCCAAGCCATCTCTGGTAGACTTGGAAAACAATGCTCCTATTCCTGAGAAAATATTCAGTCTGAAATACAAATCATTTAAAGTTTATCAAGTAATAAATTAAGTGGGTTCTCCATAAACAGAGACTTCAATTTTTAACAGTATGTATTTTACTAAAGTCATAAAAATTAGAGAAGACCGAGCATTGTTCAATGATATGAATGTTGGTAAATATAAAGTTAAAGTGATGCTGACACCATCCCTAATAATCTGAAAAGCAGATGATACTAAAACTTTTGGTTTTGTACAGTAATAATTGCTAACAAAGTCAAAGGAGGGGTATACTGCCTACCTTCATTTGATCAATGAATTAAGTCACATCATACAAAACATAAGATCCCAAAATGAAATGATAACATGACAAAGGTATCTATAAAAATTTGATATTTAAGGACAAACTGTTTTATAAATAACAATTTAGTTAATACCATACATACCTTCTGAAACCTAAATCTTTGTAACACTGCTTTTTTGTGTCAATATACAATTCTACAACAACAAAAATAAACTATACAAAATGATTTCACTATGTACTTTGAAAACTTGTAATTTCCATTGTTTAAATGCATAACTATTCTACATGTATATCCATTATTTACATGATTTAACAATACCGGTATATCTTTACTGTTTTGATTAGAATTGAATAATCCAAACAATAAAAATACAAGTTCTTAAAAAAAGAGCAAGATTTTAATCGCTTTTTTTTATTGTTTACAATAGACTATTTTTAATATGTTTAAACCTCCACTAAAAAATCCTCCTTTGACAAAATCTTGCACGCCCAGCTCTTCCACACCGAGTCCAACAAAGCGGATGTTGTTGGCCTCAAGGCGTGGATGAATAGAAGAAACCTCCTTAATGTGGAGGCGGCATGTGGGTCATCCAAACCTTCTCATGAACAAGATCACACAAGTCTGCTTCTCCCAAAAGCTTTCAAGTTTTACCTCCTACAAATAAACAGATCATTACACTTAAACAAGGACATCAAACAGAGTAAATTTTCATTCAAAGAATTTTTTTTCTTCAAATATTGATTTGAAATAGTGTCCTGAACTTCATCATTTCTTTCATGACAATATTGCTTACACTTATGATGTTATTGACCTTGATATTTAACCTTTGACCTTGCATAAACTTAGGTTTCTTCCATCAAACACTTAGCATACACATGTACATGATGTATGTAGCAATTATAGAACTGAAGATCAAACTGCACTCTTTATGTTGTGTCAGCAATATTAACACTTATCATTAATTAGCCTTGACTTCTGACATTCTGATCTTATATTCAGGAATCTTTTTCCTCTGACCAACAAGCATATGTGTAGCAACTGTAAGACTGAAAGATGAAACAATAACCTAAACATAGTTACCATATCTATCCTGTAAAACATATCATTGGTGTGGACTTGCACAGAGAGAGGTACATGCATATAGTATACATGTATAGACCAGGCTCTGGGGCCAAAAAACTTAGACAAGCTTAAAAGTGATCAAAAGTGAGCTCATCTAAGTTTTATGACCCCCCAGCCAGGGGCCTGTTTAAGACCCAAAAACTAGTTGATAGTAAAGTTGCGCAAAATTAAGGAATAATAACCCACTGTTCTAAATTTCACATTTTTTTTTTAAACTTCCCAAGATTGATTTTCATCACGAACTAATATAGCATCAATTTTTTTTTTAAACTTCCCAAGATTGATTTTCATCAAGAGCTATAGCATTAGTCTAAGATTCAAATGAAATATACATGTAGTTTGAGATATGAAGCGCTGCTTATTTTTTTCAGAAATGATTTTTATGTCAGATCATGATATTATATTAGTTTAACACAGAGAATAGAAAGAGTAATAATTTATTGTAACAACATAAAATTAAAAATATGAGGTGTATATAAAAATATTAAACTGCATTACAGAAAAATCTGTTTTATAATTAAACAAAACATTATTTGCAGACATTTAAGAAACCATTAACTTTACTGTGATTTCTTTTCCATACCATTCCTATTTGCTGATACATGTACTGTTGTATATTTGTATGTACATTTGTATATGCAGGCACACTGGAGGGTAATGTAAGGGTCTTAATAAATTGACTGCGTGCAAGGGCATACACTCTATGGATCATAGTAAGCTTTATATACACATCTTCTCTAGATGTATTAAGCCATTTGAAAAGTGCATGCTGCAGATCCTGTCAAAATCTTGAATCAATTATTTTTAATGCACTTGATTAGCAAAAATATTCAGCACGCAGTCTTACATATATAATTTTAACAATGAAATAGGATAGCAGCGCTTTTCACAAACTACAATGGGTGCTGAAAATATTTATAAACCAAATTTTGAATTTTAACTTGGTTACGCCCGTGCACTATTTAAATTTCTAGGTGACCTAAATATTGCAAGTATATATTATATAATTCGCTAAAATCATGTGACTTCCACATCACTTGACATTTAGTCTACACAGAAAATCTTAATGTTTTCAATATGTAGTTAAAAACAAGTTACATTTGTCCAATACAATTAAGAACTATAAAAAAGAATCTCAATCCTGATTAAGAATGTACTTTTTTTTCAAAAAAAGTGTCCATATTTCCATTGCACACCTTAACTGTATTCAATTGCATATTCAAGTATTACTCAAAATTTAGCATAATTGTAGGTCATATTTTATTTTGGTTAATATTTTCATGAGAAATATTTACTAGAAACCTGTTATGTATCTTTGTTTGTGAGAATTTTTTTAATATGGAGGAAAGTACCCCTGCATATTTATGTATCTTTGTTTGTGAGGATTTTTGATATGATGGAATCCAGTATATATATATATATATATATATATATATATATATATATATATACAGAAATTCTAATTCAATTTTTGTTTGGAATATTAAAAATATAAACTGACATATGATTTTGAAGAATTTCCTCCTTAGAAATAGAAAAAGAACTATGAGTTTAAGTTGTAGAATTGTAAAATTTCTCTAAAATACAATTTTCATTATGAGCCTTAGTCCTTACAAACAAAGACTATAAATATGCTGTTAAGGTCAGACGACACGTTACTCAATTATATGTTTTGTATACCTTGGTATTATATCAAAAATTATTCATAATTGTCATTCTCTTGTGATTTCTTAATTGTTTTCAATATGTTTTAAAAAATAAGTGCACCAGAAATTGTAACATTGGCAATTCAAAAGATTACCTATATGGATTATATAGGAAATATCACCCTCTGGTATCTTGCCCAAATGCCTGGTAAGGTACCTCAATTTTTGGTGAGGAAACTTGTTTAAGTAGCAATACTTCAATGACAAATTCTTGGGAAAAATTATATATTTTTGAGGAATGTGTCGTCTGACCTTAATTAGCTGTTTTTATCAGCTTTGACCAGTACATATTTCAATTGTCTAATCTAATTCTTTATTCACTTCTGAATTATTGAAGACAGAAGGATAGATGGTTATCATTTTTCAACCGTTAACTTGAGATTTCAACATTAATCTTAGACTTCAATTCATATAGAATGAATATAATGAAATTATTTTTAAAAAAACTCTTTTTATCACTTCTTTCCTTCCTTTACTCCCCTTTATGATGGCTATTGCATTTAATTTACTAAAATTGACAGTACATATAGACATTCCGATAGCTTTGTTGTTTCAAACTAAAGAATACTGGAGTATTGACACTCAAATTGAGTACACTCCACAAAGGGAAGAAGAAGAAGAAGAAAGAGATCTAGTAACCCTGGAATGAGGTATTGATATCTCCTATGCTTGTCTGTCCTTCACCAGCGCAAGGAGTAAAAATTCAAGTTGTGCGATAACATATCACCATAGTAGCAGGGTTGATAATAGTGGTGTCACCATGCAAATTCTTGGTGTATCTGAATTCCAAAGGTTCAATTCCTACAAACAGTTGAAGAGCCTGGATGTTTTTGTTTTATGTTTTAAAATCTTTCTCTTTAAAGGACTTTGTTGACATTAACTCTTTTTAATTATATCTCCAATAACATATAATTTTAATTAGATTGTGAACTTCCTGTGCATGTTTGTAACCTTAATTGTTAATGAAATGTACGTATATTCAGATTTTAAAAGAACAGCATGACCATGAAAGATTCAGTTAGAAATAAAATGGGAAAATGGGGGGGGGGGGGGGCACATACGCATGATTGTTGGACTTTATCATGCTAAATATGTCACCAAGGGCTAATAACCACTATATTGGATTTATCACATATAATTTGGAATGCTTAATACACTGTGAAAAAAGAATTAAGGGAAATCCCACGGCCTTTATTAAGGGGGCGGGGAGGAGGGGGCACTTAGCCCTAAAGATATACTGCAGTTTGTTCATAATATACAGTAAAAACTGTATCCCTTGTTCTATTAATTATTAATCAGATAACCCAAACAAACTGCAAAGACAACACTGTAAATACACATCCACGCCCAACTCTACAGCTGCTCTAATGATGATGACATTAAATTAAGCAAACTAACCTCGCTAGTTGCGACACTTTTTACCACATTATTCTTTATCTTGTTGATGTCCATGGCGAGTTAATTTTGTTCGATAAATTTATTACATTCACTGGAAATCTACCAGTCACGTTGCATTTCAGTGTGCCCAGTTACATAATGTTGCAGATGCAAAAGTTAACTCGTACAAAATATTGTTTTTGTCGAGATTAGTATTAGACAGGATGTTTTTAGGAAAATTATGGATAAAATTGTGCACATATAGTAGGTTTCGCATTGATATTAATAGAAAAGTTGTTATGTAAAGGGAAGAAAAGAAATATTTGAAAACAATCTTTTCTACGAAGTTATTTTGATCCAGTTAACAAAATGTGTTTGATTCTAGATCACTCAAACGATTATTTCAGTAAACAATTAGTTCAGGCAAGTGATGCACACGAATGACTTGTGAATAAGAGTTTGTCAGTTGGTGTCAACAACTTTACAACACACAAAATCCATCGAAAAGAAAGAGTTGACACTTGTCTTGCTCTTTAAGTTTTTTTGATAAACAGGGGATATGTAATTTAATTGAGAATTTAGAGTTTCTCTTCTTGTAAATCTGAGGTACGGAGAAATGCTGCTGATTTAATTTTAATGATTTTTCAAACATCTGAACAATTTCGCAATCTTAGGTGTTGTTTGTTGAGTTGTTATCAACTACCAGTAGATATAAGATGACCTCAACGTTTGTTAACATATTTTTCAACCAGCGTATATATTTGAAACTCAAAGGAAGTACAATGATTAATACAAATCTAATAATGACATGTACTAGTAATATTGAATTTCATCATTATTGAAGTTTTTTTTATTTCATGAAAACTAAAATGTTAATATAACTTTTATTTAATTAAACTAGTACCATGGTGATGATAAAAAATAAAACTTGTTTGATTTCTTCGGCTTTGTATTTTAACAGCTAGTATGAATGACATGTCATGGTGTCATTTCTGACGTTTTCATGATGCAACAAGTATCAAAATCTTGAAAAAAGCCTGGAAAATATTATACATTTATTGACAGGGTTGGAAGGCAACATGCATTTTGTCAGACCCAAGAGCATAACTGGTTGCCTGAGGCTGTTAGGCAGAAGGCAAACAGTTTGTTGAGGGGTTGACAAAACACATTTTGCCCCAAGAACACAGTTAATAAATGTTTTGTTATACCTTTTATTTTTCATCTTGTGCTGGCTTCCATGATGTAAATTTCCTTTAGCCGCACTGCGGTAAATCTTGGTCAATTCTGTCACTTCGAACATCAACGAATGCAAATAAAATTTAGCTGATCCCGTCCACAGTGTGACGTAAGCGGACCAATATCTCATCTACAGGTCCAATGTCTCACTCTGCAGTTAAACATTGATTTTTTTATGACCTCGTAGTAAAACATTGGATTGTTAGACTTTTTTTACTATTAATTTTATATATGGGACCAATTTTTAAAGGTATTATCATATAAAAGATATTTTGGACTAGTAAACAGCATGCTTGTTTTCACCCATTTTCTTTTCTGTGCATAATACATTCCTATAATATACTATTAAGTGCATACATATTTAAGTACTGTAATATAATCTCAAAATCCATTCATGACATTTTTCAGATTTTAGAAAATATGATTCTGGTGGGGATAATATTCTGAACAAAATTTGATGTCATCTAATGGTACCTCTACCAGCTCATCTGAAGATGGTAAGAATAATGTGTTATTTGTATTTAAAGTAGGGTGCAATTTGGAAAGAGAAACATTATAAACTGTGTGAGCTGTTTAACATTCTCTGCCATCAGTAACTGAGAGAAAAAAAATCCAATAATTTAAGTATTCTGCAGCAAAATTTATTAAGAATTGTACTAATCCTCTAACTGATATGTTTTTGCAGGACTTGGAGCAGGGGTGATATGGGTCATTACATTCTTCAGCACATGTCTGATATTTGGTTCCATTATGACATTTGTCTGCTGTGATGCCTACAAGAAGTATTATAGAAGAGTTCCAAGAGAATACATTACGGTTTGCATTCACAAAATCTTAATACTTAAATCGTACATTTTCCTCACAATGATTAGAATACTTGACAAAAGTATGTCTTAAGTTGACTCAACCATTAAATTTTTGTTTAACAATTTATTTCAACGTAAGACTTTTTAATCAGTGCTTGCAAAATGAGTATTATGAGGGTTGTCAATAAGTTTGTAGACAAATGCTATATATAATTTTCTGACCACACTGCCAACTGTGTACAATAATATTCTTATATCTGAACCATGATTTAGTAAAACACGCTTATAAAGAATTGACACTTAAAGGGCCAAGTGATTTTTCACTCCCAGTGGCTTTGAAATATATTGTTAACTTAACGAATATAACAAATTATGTTTACGATGAAGCAAAAATTTCTATCACTGGCACTTTGATATAAGCATGTTTTACTGTAATCATTTTAATATGAAAACTTTATTTCAAAGTTTATGGCATTTTAACCCTGGCCTGTGCACACTATGTGTGTTTTTTAAGGACCATGATTTTTCAAAAAATATGAAGTTAAAACAATCAAAACCAAACTGTTCTGACTTTGATTCACGTAACAAATATTTGGGTATACAATATTATATTTAGGACCATTCAGTTTGACAAAAATTTCATTGTCCACAAACTTTATGGACTACCATCATATTGTGTATTATAAACCTTCTTTTTTAGCTCACCTGAGCCAAAGACTTTGTCAAAATTTGTCCTTTGTCCACCGTTGTCATTGTTGAAAACTTTTCTCATTTTTATCTTCCTTCTCCAGAACTGCTGGGCCAATTTCAACCAAATTTACCACAAAGAATCTTTGGATGAATGGGATTAAAGTTTATTCAAATGAAGGGCCACACCCTATAGATAGGGAGATAATTAAGAATTAGTGAAAATTTAATGACATCTTTCAAAAATCTTCTTCTTATGAACCACTGGACCAGGAAAGATGAAACTTAAGTGACAGCTTTATTAAATAATGTAGATATAAGTTTGTTCAAATCTTGACCCTGGGGTAGGGTGGTGCCACAAAGGGCAATCAAAGTTTTACATAGAAATATATTAGGAAACGATTTTTAAAAATGTTCTTCTCATGAACAACTGGGCCAGAAGAGTTAAAACTCAATACATAGTCATTAGTGTAGATTCAAGATTACTCAAATCAATACCCTCAGAGGTAGAGTGGGGCCACAATGTATGATCAAAGTTTTACATAGAAATATATAGGAATCAATCTTTAAAAATCTTCCTTCTTATAAACAACTGGCCCAGAAGAGTTGAAATTTATGTGAAAACTTCAATACATAGTATAGATTCAAGATTATTCAAATCAAGACCCTTAGGGGTAGGATGAGGCCACGGTGGACAATCAAAGTTTTACATATATAGAAATATAAATACCCGGTATATAGAAATATATAGGGCCAAAAATAAAATTAGCTTTGTTTGGCGTTGCCGGCCGACTCGCATAAATCGGTGCGGTTGGAAGAATTTTTTCAACAGATACTGATCATAATTTTTATTTGGTTTTATTCATCCGGATTTAGGTGTTTGTACGTTTGCGTAATATGTACAGAATGGGAATGAATCATGTAAACGCTTGATTGATCAAACAGTTTTCATTTATAAGCGTCTATGTGACGTTGAATAAATGCGTATCATGAATCCAAGCATGGCTGTTGAAAGCGGTAAAATGTAAACTCGGTATAACAGAAGTTGATGGCATGACTCTCTGTGGTAATGTGGTTTAAAAGTAAACTGATGAATAAGATATACCAATTCAAAATAGAAATTTCACGGTACAATGTCTTGTCCAATTTGCTAGTCTAGATGCCATGCTTGGATTCGTGCACATGATTCGAATTTACACTAATTTAATGTCGGTGATTTTTAATACTATGTACATGTATATTAAAAGTTTAAAATTAATAGGGTTTGAAAATCAATGACAAAACTGAGAATCAATTCGGACTGTGGTTGTTAAACTATCGAAAACCCATGACTTTTGGATACTAACAACATGTAAAATTTTTGAAATTTATAAAAACAAAAATATTTTCCCTACCTACCGACCCAAACGTTTAAAGACTAAGTCGGCAACGCCAAACCAACAATATTTTAATTGTGGCCTAGGATCAGTCTTATAAAATCTTCTTCTCATGAACAACTGGGTCAGAGGAGTTGAAACTTGCTTTTAGTGAAAACTTCAATACATAGTGTAGATTTCAAGTTTGTTCAAATCATGACCCCAGGGGGTAGGGCATGATAAGTTATATTGATAAGGAAGCATCCTCAAGTATGGTAGATTCAAATTTGTACAAATTATGACCCCCTGGGTTACAGTGGGGCCACATTGGACGATCAAAATTTTACATGGGAATATATAGGAATCAGTCTTTAAAAATCTTTTCAAGAACATCAAAGGCATGATTAGTCATATTGATATGGAAGCATCCTCAGGTAGTGTAAATTCAGGTTTGTTCAAATCATGACCCCCAGGGGTGGAGTGAATAATTCAAAATCTAACAACTGGGCCATATACATGTATGACTCAGGTGAGCGTTGTGGCCCATGGGCTTCTTATTTAAGTTGGTAGGACAATTTTATATCCTTAAACAAATACTAGTAATAATTCAGTGTATTAAAACAATTTGAAATAATGAATCACAAATGTATATATAAATCACTGTAATGACAGGGTAGAGGAAATTACCCAAGACAGCCTAGTGCCCCAACACAAGGGACCACGGTCAGTAACGATGGGGAACAATCAAAGGAAAGCACCAGCCCTCAGACAGGGAAACAGGCAGAGGAAGAAGATACACAGACAGGAAGTAGTGGCCAGAGCAACAGAGGTCACGTCATACAGGTGTCAAACAGTGTCGACATGCCATCAACATCAAAGAAAAAATCCACCCTTCCACCCATAGACAGCGAGATTCCCACAATATCTGGGTCCGTCCCTGAGGGGGGTGGGGCAGTGAATGGGGGATTCACTGATAAGCCCCTTCCCTCTATAAAGGACAAGTCTTCAGAGATTGTGTTAACCCCTGTTACCAACTTAAATCTGGGCGTCAGTATTTATTCATGAATTAAGCTTGGCATCGTTACATATTTGTTCCGTGTTTTATATTGGTATTAATGACTGTTGGTACATGTACTGCTTTTAAGTTATTTATTTTTCATTGCTTTTTGTCCCTCCTTATCATTTTATAAAATTAAATGCAAAAAGATCAAAGGTCTAGTTTTGTGCAAAAAGTGATACATAAAATATGTGTAAATTGGTTGTAGAAACACTTTTTACCATATTTATTTGGGGATTACCTTGTTTTCAACATCAAATTTTGAAATATTTTTTCGTTTCTCAATTTTCAAGTGTTTAAGTTCATGAACTTTACCAGGACATGGACTTCCATTCTGTTTTAGGGCACTACACTACACCTACTGTAGATATAGGCTTGCATTTCTTATTCAATTTCTTCTTACATATTCTACTAGAAAATTAACATAAAACAGTTTCAATTAGACAATGTAAGGTCTGTGTTCCCATATAAGCATTCTTTAATAATTCTGAAGGGTGTTCAACAAGCCTTGGTAATATATATATACTGTGTTAAATCATATTAGAGCACTGCATAAAAATTTGGATAGCCTACAGAAATCATCATGTTTATCTGTCTGTCATCAATTCTCTGTAGTGTATTGGACTTTTTATAGATATATCAGGAATTTTTTTTAAATCTAGCAATTCATTTCTACTACACAAATGAAGAATGCAGGAATGAGGACACCAACAGATTTTTGCCCACATGATCAAAGTTCAAGGTCATTGATGGTTAATAACCAAGTAGTTTTAAATCTCCATTTAACAATACAGAAAGAGGGCAAGACACATTGTTAGAGATTTGGATAATATGGTCTGAGATCAAGGCTTCTGGCATTGGCATACTGTGGGGCCCTAAACAACTTTGTCAGTTACTGTAAAATCACTAATTTGTGTGGGAGTTTAATTTTCATTGTTTTTATGGTATGGAGAGACCCACGAATTTATGTCCCCCCCCCCCCCCCCCCCCCCCCGAAATGTTAACATTTTTTACTATAGTAGAGTGATTCTCCTTTAACCATGAAATCAAATCTCACCGAATCAGTAATTTTTCCTTAAACCATGACAATTTGACCCCTCGAATGTGATTTTGCAGGACATGCAGTGGCATATATCACAGCATTTGTAGGAAATTAAAAATTGGTCCTCTTGGTCAGCATCCACAATAAACTGGGTGGGACCATTCCGGGATTGTTATAAAAAGTGCACTCGGGAATATCAACATAAAGAAAGTAACTTAGGTGGAACTCCGATTTGTTCCGGAGCTAGTGTTGAAACAATAGATGTGCCATGTAGCAACTGCACAGCGATGTAGATCACAGTTGGCTACAATATCTCCAGTTGGAATGCCTGTTAACATTTAACATATTTGATATTTTCTTTCTGAATAACTAAAAGGAAACAGCCTTTTATCTGATGCAGTTTGACATAAAATTTCACTGATAGTGATAATAATTGATTATGGATATATGCATTTTCAGTTCATTTATTTGCTCTCCCTAGCTTTTCATTTTGAATTGGGTTCAAGGGAAGTATGTTTTGTTCTGACATAAATATGTTATGCAATTATTCATCCACTTTCTAGAAGTAGCAGGGTATTTGTCCAGTTGTTTATTGTGCAATTGTTAGATGTTTTCATTCTGAGGTGCTAAGAATGTAAGAAACTCTCACCGACTGTAATTTTTGACTAGAATGTGATACATGTACATATATTCCTACAGAAGTGAAAGCAAAATAAATCAAAACAATTTATGCCTCCTGTTAACCAGCTAGGGGCATGTAGTTTCCTACAAAATCATTAGACTATTTCTGACTTTTAAAGTTCCATTCTTTCAATTAAAAACACTTGTTTTCATTCTTCTCACTGGGACCAGGGTAGCAATTTACTTGAACGATGCTTGACAATGGTTTTTTTTTTTCAATGAAAAATACACTTAAACTTTGGTATCTTGAATAACGTGTCAATATTGAAGTGAGCTGGAAGTCTCAAGTACTTTTTATGTCCCCCGTTACATGTATCTAAGATTCAGGGGCATATAGTTTTTGGTCTGTCCTTCTGTCTATCTCTCTGTCGGCAAAAATCTTCAACCTTGACTATAACTTTTGAACAGTTGGTGTGAGGACTTTTATATCGTTTTTTGATGTCATGTCAAAATCCTGACTTCTCAAACATCTCAAACTTTTTTCTGGGTCCCATGAAGTTTGAGATGATGAACTTTGAATCTAATTGTAAAAACATTATATCAGATTTATGATGTTTAATATACATCAAATTTTGTAGGATACAAGTACCATGTTTTATACTAGACCCCCTAATTACTAAGTTTGACTCCTATGTTATTTATACCTTCTGTCTCTTTCTGGAAATATTTTTTGCCACCCAGTTATTGTACATGTTAGGCTGACTAGGTTTTCATGGATTTATGTTAACTAAAATGTTACTAAAAATGGAATGGAAAACATAGAATTTTTTTAACAGTATTATTTTTTTTTTCCTATTGGCATTTTACATTACTTTGTTTAGACAGCTTAGGACAAATAAAAAATGTGTGTTCCTGGTTATAAGCCAAAAAATTAGGAGAGGTATGTAGACGATAACTCTTTTTTTTTTTACTTTTTATTTTGAAGGAATCAGTATTCAATACACTGTTTATTCGTCCTATATAAATACACATATATGAATAAACACACCCAACAAAACAAGTGTACTTTTAGATACACTTGGATAGACATGTTTTAACAGTGTCTTGAGATATGCATTTTAATGAACAAAAGTATGGTTCAAATTAATTTGGAATAAGAAGTAGTAGGGTTGATGGGTAAAATTAGGGTTGATCAGGTCACCAAAAGAACACATATTTTTTTTAGCCTTAGGCTGTATATCCAAGTGCAGATTTTTAACTGGGCATTAATCCTAACTACATTTGGCATTATGCCAGACCAAAATAAAAACAAAATTTATTGATTTGTTACAATATAATTGTGAGAGTATATATGAATATCTTCTATACATTCCACAATATGTATTGCTTTGCTCAGATGTGATAATAAATGATATCAGTTGTATATGAGTTGTTAGATATGGATGTACTGTTAATATTTATGTACAATGTTAATGTTCTTGTATATGTAACATGATTTATTTTTTATTTATTGTGATACTTGCTGATCATTATGTGCTGTTTTATGCAACTCATTTATTTTCCTACTTAAGAATTTTATAGACATTGTAGAATGGAATAAATTCTGTATTTTTCACTTACCTTCATGTTTTAAACAGGTCAAATCTTTTAATTTCTTAATTCAAAAATGGGTGCAGATGTACCTCTGTCAGAGGGGAACCAAGAAGGAGAATTTTGTATGTAGGAATTTCAAGCTTTTCTATTTATTTCTGAGAATAAGAAGTATGATACTGTCACATGAAGGAGAAAACTTATGGCTGGGCTGGGAATTGAATCTGGGACACCAGTATTACTAGTCAGGTGTTCTAACCACTAAGCCATCTAGGCCAACATCAACAGTCCTGAATCCCCCACATTCCCCCCTCCTTAAATTGTCTTTGTCTTCAAAGACATACAATCCAGAATAATCTTTAGCTCCTGGTAGGACTTTCAAATATAAGTCTAAAGGTGGTCAATGGCACCAAATTAACTGGAAAGGAGTCAAATAATGGCTGGACCGCGAATCAAATTGGGATCCCTGGTCAGGTGCTCTAACCATTGAGCTGTCATGCCTGATAACCACTGTCCATATAGCTCAAACTACAATACATTAGAGCATTTGAAATGTTTTTCAACCTAGTGCCAGGGTCTATTTCAGAAAAATATTAAAATACTGGCAAGTAATCAAAGAGAGAATCATTGAATGATTTAAATTAAATATAGATCTCTGGGAGATTACAGGTCAAATGCAGCATTCATATCAATAGTTAGTCAACATACTTGAACCTATGAAATTCATGAAGTGTCAGACATAAAAAATTAAGTACATGTATTGGAGTGTGAAATTATTTGTCATGATTTTATTATCACAGTTATGCTAATTGTTCTTCAAAGACATAAATATGTTCAGTGGCATATGTCACAGATATCTTTTTTTTGACTGGTGAGTTGAGCAGGTGTGTATACAAGATTTATGTACACTATTATATCTTATATGTAACATCATATACTCTCTCCATCCTCAAAAAATCTTTTGCTGTTCCTGAAAAAAATAGACACTGCAGTTAAAATATACCTGTATAAAAAATTGAAGGAAGTTAATTCATATACTTTCAGATCTCTTAGTTTCAATATATTGCAAATTGTTAGGAAAGCAACTTGAATTCTTTGATTTTTCTATCCAGCAAATTTTGAACTTGCTGTACTTACAAAAAAAATGTCTGACATCAAAATCTCTTAAATATAATCGGATAATAACAGAGTACTTGGCAAGTAGGTTTATTTATAGAGAATACCTATAACCCCACTTACTGATCCCATTCACCTATAATCCCACTTACTCATCCCACTCACCTATAATCCCACTCACTGATCCCACTAACCTATAATCCAACTGATCCCACTCACCTATAATCCAACTTACAGATCCCACTCACCTATAATCCCACTCACTGATCCCACTCACCTATAATCCCACTCACGGATTCCACTCACCTATAATCCCACTAACTGATCTCACTCTCCTATAATCCCACTCACGGATCCCACTCACCTATAATCCCACTCACTGATCCCACTCACCTATAATACCACTCAATGATCCCACTCACCTATAATCCCACTCACTGATACCCCAGCCCTTCTGGCCATTCACTTCATAATCACAGAATCGTTCAAATATTCTTGCATCTTTCCCCTCTCCAATGAAGAATCTCGCCATATCAACTACAGTGCATTTCATGTTGTACATTTTCCCACCTAAAACATACAGTATTTAAAATCAACCTAGAAATGGTGTGTTACATGGTCAACAATATACTAATGCCCTGTTCACACGGAGAGTTTAATTCGAATTAAACGTAAGTTACTGCGAATTAAATTTGATCCACGTTCACACAGAGAATTTAATGCGAATTAGTTTAATTCAAATTAGTTTACTGCGCATTAAATTACTTCGCATTAGCTCCGTGTGAACACTAAGTGAAGCTAATTCGAATTAAATTTTGACGCATGCGTGAGGGCAGATTAAGTCACAGGCCACATGTCGATGGTCTAATATAGGTACTTGTGCTATTTTTGAGTGGAAAACAAAGGAAAATTAAGTTAATCACTAAAATGTGTACTGACACTATGACATTGATTGCATGTATGTCAAATGTATATCTGCTCTGCACAATATGACGTGATTTGTAAATGACGTCATAATAGCCTCACTGGATAGCCTTGTTGTAGAAATAAAATTATAATTCGCATTAGTTTACTTCGCATTAGCTGTTGTGTGAATGCATTTTAATTTGCATTAGTTTAATTCGCATCATTTTACTTCGCATTAATTTACTACGAATTAAACTCTCCATGTGAACAGGGCATAAGACTCAGAATTTGCATCATTGTATCATATACTGTGGTTTCACTGATAGTTGTAGGGACCAGATTTGGTTGTTTTAGCAAGATACAATCTTGTTGATACATAAATTTGTGGACATCTTCCTCAGCTTATTCTATCATTAGTAAAAATGAAGTTCCCTGATCACTACAGTTAAACTTCGTTACCTTGAATACTGGTATCTTGAATACCAGCGATATGTCAAAGTGCATTGGCAGTCCCAAACACTTTTTCTTTATGTATTTTACCCTCGTTATCTCGAATCCTCAGATATCTCAAATTTTAAACTTGATCCTGTCGAGTTCAAGATAACAATATTAGACTGTAATTTCTTTGTCTAGCTCAACCTTAATGAATGGTGTTCAACAAAAATAAAGAAACCACAGTTTATACATGTATCACTGTGCCTAAGAACTATGTAAATGTTATGACCTTTCATTGGTTGTCATTATCCAATGATTCTATAAATACTTTTCATACCGGCAGAAAATTTGGCACTGAATTCCTTTGGCGGGATTCCATCCTCACCATGCTCAAAAAGTTCCAATGATGACCAGGTAACGGTATCCAGTCTACCATCTGGATGGAATACGTACCCCATCAACAACCTGTCAAAGTCATACAAAATAGCATGTTAGCTAGGTACTTCCAGTAACGGCAATTTTTTTCACCAATAACTGTACATGAACTTGCAAATTACTGAGTGTCCAATATAAGCATTCATGACACTACTCAACGGTAATGCAGACAAAGGAATAACAGTGCTCCAAGGAAAGCATATTGCTACAGCAACCTATGGTATGTAATAAAAGCTTTATGTACATGTACTCTGGAGTTCCTGATACTTAACTTCAATTAAAATGTTATTGTTGAGTAATGTAACAAGACTGGAAAGACGAGATAATAAACTTATTTCATGACAACTATATGTATAATATATGTACTATCGTCCTCAAAAAAGGATAAGGTCTGTAAGAAAGAGAGAGAAGAAGGGACAGCTTGTATCATGAAAACTTTTTCACTATGCATTTAATGAAATATGCCTGTGTGTGAAGTCTTAGCTCATACATGTAACCTTCATGAACCCTTCAAAATTTATTAAATGTAATATATATACATTATGTACATGTGTATTATGCTTATTTAAGTCAAGTTTGCATGAGTATTGGTGTAAAATATTGAAAGAGTCTAATACAGTACAGTAATTCTTACTTTGACAGTGACCGTGGCATTGAGATGACCCCCAGACAAACAGCTGTTTTATCCTCCAGCGTACAGTATTGTATGGCGTACCTGTGTAAATCCTTCCAATCACGGATATTGCCTTAAATTGTTACAGGAAAACATTATAGATCTTTTCAGCAAGACCATTAATAGATAACTTAATAAACCTTAAAGATCTAGTCAAAAATCAAAACTTATGTACTAATTAAACTTTGCTGCAAATATACAAAATAGGCCAAAGTTTACAATTTTTAAAAAAATTTAATAAGATCTAAATAAAGGTACTTTCAATAGTATGTAAGATTATCTGATGCCTATAACCTTTCATTCTGGGTCTAACAGTCTCTCTGCATTTCAAGACACCAATTACAATGAAGGCATAATACAGTAAAAGTTGTCTAATCCGGACACTACTGGTTCCAAAGAAAAGGACCGGATTACACAACATTTCGGATTAGACAACATTTTAAACAAATAAATTTACTGAAATGGACATAAAGTTAACATCGTATTAAGCAAGATTTTGGATTACACAATATCCGGATTAGACAAGTTTCACTGTATATATGTACTTTAACTAATATGTCATACCTATTCCCAAGAGAATGGTCTCTACTTCTGACAATGAAAATGTAATAAACGTATACCTGAAATAATAAATACATCATACGTACCATAAGAGTGGTCTCTAACTCCGGATACATTTAAGTTGATATCATCATAACCTCCTATTTTAACTGTTCCTCTTATGTCTCCAAATTGTTCATAATGAGTCTGGTGATATCTGAAATCATCAAAATAACGGTCCCTCGGTACTTCAATTGTAACAATTGTTAAATCCTTCTTTGTACCAATCTAAGTGTGTGAATTACAGAACTGAATTTTAAAAGTTATGGAGGTAGATACAATGTTTCTTTTTTTAAATTGCTTGTCAAAAAGAAAATAATATTTTAATTAGAAGTTTGTCTTAAAAAATATTGAGATGCTGCAATTCATGTATGCTGATACTACAAAAACTGTATTACATTATATTATTCTAACAAACATTCTGAGTAACTGAATCATGCCTGAATTTATAAGTATAAAGTACAAATTTACAGAACATTATAACTGTCTGATGGTAAGTATTCCCGTTTTTCAAAACATGGCTTTAAAAACATTGTTAATTACTTGCATTAGGCTAATTCAGAAATTTTGTGTCCCCACTTAAGGAGAAAAGAAAAGGGTGAAGGGATGAAAAAATGCAGATGGAGAAAGAAAAAAAAAGTTGATCTTGATCTTTCAGCTTTTGGCCTTAGATTTGATAGGGGTCTTTTTTAAATTAAAGAAATCCATGTCCTTAACTCATCATTTGAATACTATATATGCAATTTATGAATTTCTGACCTTGATCTTTGACCTTGTGACCTCAAAATCATCAGGTTTTTTTTTCTTTATCCATAGAAAATTATGATATAAAACTTCATTGAAAACTGAAGTAATCATCTTGGATACCATTTTTTTTTTTTGCAATGAATGAATTTCTGATCTTGACCTTTGACTCATTCAGCTCAAAATCACTACTGGTCTTTTTTAGGTCACAGGTAGTTGACAGTGATATTAAATGTCATTGAAAAAAGTTAAAAATAAAAATAAACTGATTCAGAAGTTTTCATCTGGAAACTGTTATTTGCAATGCATGAATTTATGTCCTTGACCTTTCACCTCAAAATCAATAGGGGTCTACTTTAAGCCATAGGGAGTTGTGATATAAAATCTCACTGTAAAAGCTCAAAGGCTTTTTGAGATATTCTCTGGAAACGAAAGTGTTCCATACACAGAATATATGAATTTCTAACCTTGACCTTTGACCTCAAAATCAATAGTGGTCTTCATGAGACCATAGGGAGTTGTAATGTCAAATTTCATTGCAAAAAGTGTTACACAGGCAGAGGGACAGATGAATAGACAGACCCAAATTAATATCCATACTTTCAGTGAAAGAGGGGGGCATAAAAGGAAAAAAAATACTTTACTTTTAATCATGCATAAATGTATTTGAAAAATGTGTTCTGAAATTTTTTTTCTAAAATTTTCCAATTATTAACCTCTGAAGTTCCTCAAAATAAGATCGTGACCACGTCTCTCTACAGATAGCATCAGCCATTGTAATAGGATTCATTTCCGTATCAAAATCAAAATACGGAGTGAAGGCCGTCCATAAAAGGTCAAAGGTCACATCTACTTCTTCTCCAGTCTTCGTGATTCTGAAATATGACAAAGTTTCAAATATGCAGGACAATAACTGCCCCCAACTCACAAATATTATTAAGACTTACAATTTAAGTCTTAAAACAATTTTGACTCCGTTATGAATACACGTACTATTACAGTTGATAACAATCAGGGTTCTTGTGTCAATTGGTTGCCATGGGTCTCATGGCAACAAATTGACTCAGGACCCGTGACATTGTGAGGATGGTTGATAATGGGTGTAATTAAAAGTTTTTGCAAAAAAGCTAATTATTAAATACACTGTGTCACTGCATGAGCTTACAATGACAGAAGACATGGTAATATATATGTGATAAAAGAGAAAAAGGTAACAATTATTATAATACATGTACATGTATTATGTTTGTTAAAAATGTTTTTTAAAAAGTTTGACTTAACACCAAATATGCTTGCAGTTTTCTATACCATTAAAGAATAACAATTACAAATCTAAAAGTATTAAAAACATTCTTAACATAAGCATTTTGTGCAACCTTAACCTTGCTAAAACAATTCAAAGTGAAGCCTCTAGCATTTATAACTGTGGGTATAAATAAAAATAATACATACACCATTTTCCCAGAAAAGACAAGTCTCCATTCTTCCATTGCTTTTTGGGGGGTCATTTTTAGCCCCCCAGCAGCAAACCCTCCTGGATCTGTCCCCTCTAGGTTGGTGCCCTGAGACATAAAGGTGCCTTGGAGGATACCTAGTTCTGGAGTCTGTCAATAGACACAGATTTTTAACAGCAGTTTTCAATTCTGTCTTTGATTGGCTGAGAAAATTTTTTTTTATTCCAGGCTAGGAGTACATAAATTAGCTTATTCATCATTCTCAAGCTTTTTGGATAAAATTAAATGGACATTTAAGAGGTAAACTCAGGTGTAATAGAAAAACTTTAAGAGTTTCATTACATGTCCAAAAATCATTTGGAGGAACTTTAATGATAAATAATATTTTGAAAAAAAAATATTTTATGAAGCATTATTTTATAGAAAGTTTAGAGTGATGCTCTTACTCGTAAATACAGGAGTGTCTGTACTATGTTATTTTGTCTTCTGGCTGTTGCAGTAACCAAAAAATAGCCATCTCTGTTTCCTGCATTAAAATATACAGCATCTACTGCCTGCAAAACGATAAAATTTCTACATGTATACATAAATATTTTAATGTACAGAATCCATACTTGTTATATAATAGTAAAAAGTTAATTGTTTAGTATGAAAATGGATATTTGGTGACTGCATAGGCCCTATCTATTGAAAATGATGTAATTTTCTTGCTAGTCAATGCATTATGACATCATGAATTGCATCAAGTCCTTTACCTTTGGGTGTTTGTGAACACTCGGAAGATCTTGGGCCTTGTCCATTTCTTCTGGGGAAACTCTTGAACGCATCCCATAACCTGCATTCTGCCCTGATGTGGATTTCAATTGCTTATTTTTCCGTTGTCTAAGCCACAAAATCAGTCTAAAGAAGAAGTATTTTATAGTGTATCGCACACTTCGCTGTTTATAGATGCCTGCTTTTGGCTTTGGCTCTGGTGCAAAGTAGAACCAAGCAGTCAGTGCGCCAACAGTGGCCAAAGCGTACGTAATCATTACTCTCTCAGTCTCTGGTACTTTTTCAGCCCGTCGACAGAACTGTAAACTGAAAATGAAAGCCGATTCTAGGGTAAAGGTCATGCACTAAGATCGATAACTCTAACTTATCTGATCGTTTCAAAGTTACACTATCCAGAGTTGTCGTTCCGCTACAATTTGAAATAATATATTACAGTATAACATAGTAAATAAAAATATAAAGTTTTATAAAAGTTTAGTTGCTTTATAGTAGATAAAGAAAGATAAAATGATAGAAATCATTATATGCATGTATTTTCCCAATCTAAGCAAACATGCGGCATTGATTTCTCTTCAATACAGTAGTTAAAATTATTATGGCAGCCAGGTGCCCTAGGTTGAAAATGAACTGCGGTAGATAAACTCTATATATCTTATTTTCTTAAATTAAAAACAAATCATCATGGTGTTTTATTTTTACGAGTGATCCAGGAGGATCATGGAATTTTCCGTGGAAGGATCCATCCACGGTATAAAAAAAAAGATTTTTTTTTTTGATTTTTTTAATCTGCAATTTTTTTTTATCCACAAGCCCCCCCCCCTTTAAAAGGGGAAAAAATAAATATGCAGGCAAACGAAAACTAACAAAACGTGACTAGAAAAATGTTGTGTTTTTTTTTTTTTTTTTGTTTTTTTTTTAATTTTGTTTTGTTTTGTTTTGTTTTGTTTTTTTGTTTTGTTTTGTTTTGTTTTTTTTTTTTTTGCTTGTCAGATTTTTCTTTGAAAAATTGCACCCCCCCCCCCCACTTTTTGAAACCGTTGCTACGGACCTGTACATAAGAAGAAAAAGAATGTTGATGACGAAGAGGAATATACAGTTTAAAAAAAAAAAACAAAAAAACCCCACCATTTTAAAACACAGTATAATGTGCCTAGTTGCCTTTGTTGTTAAAATCGTATTTTCCAGTTGCATTTAAAGAAGATGTGTCTTAATTCAGATCTTGATAAATGTATTAATTTTTGTTCATCTTTAAACGCAACGAAAATTAGATATTTACTCTCTTCTAGAACATTATCAGAAAGGTTTTTCATATTTAGTCGAAAAATGGATCTCTCATCCCCTTTTACACCAGAATTCTATTTGTTACAGATACGTTCATTCATAGGAATGCTAGGATATGTACTACGTGTATATGCATTGTAAATATGAAATTCTGAAAATATTTTTAAGGGGGGGGGGGGCGTACCACCTAAACCCCCGTCACCAACATTTCTGATCAGTAGGACAATTTAAAAAAAGTTCATATTTAAAGGAAAGCATATTATTCTTTTAACAATATTCAAACTAAAACTAGCAGTTATATATATATTCAGAGATTAAAAAAATGAAAAGGTGGGGGGGGGACATATAAAACGAGAGAGAGAGAGAGAGAGAGAGAGAGAGAGAGAGAGAGAGATGGGGCAAATTCTCATTTACAGAGATCGTCCAGATTACAATGCTTTTCTTCTTGGGAAAAACTTCCTTGTTCTTGAGTCTTGTATTTGATATTAGATCTCTTGCAGCCATCCACCCTGTCTCTTCCACCTAATTTGAATTTTGTCTCTTCCACCTAATTTGAATTTCGCAACTTGCAGTTATATATATATATATATATATATATATATATATATATATATATATATATATATATATATATATATATATATATATATATATATATATATATATATATATATATATATATATATATACACGAGGGTTGTCCCAAAATTCCGTAGACAAGCGTCGTTTTGTAGTAACCCACTGTCATAAATTAATGAAACTTTCAAAATAGCTAAAACTACTAACAACTAATATTATTAGTGTAAAACATTGCGTAATTACATAAATTTATCCTAACTGAATGAAATAATTCAATGTCTGATGTAAAGAGGCGGCGCAATCTTAAAATTTGCTATTAAAAATCGGTATGTAAAATGTAAAATCTCGCAAAAAATAAATTTCTTGTCAGAATTTCGTGGGATAAAAATGATAGTTTCTCAAATTACATAAATAACTATCTTCATTCCAATTTTAACACATATGCCTTCATTAATAAGAATGTTATAACGTTTATTTGCACTGGTTAGACGCTTGACTGTTTAAAAAAATGACGCCGCATTGACACAGGCGGCGCAATGGAATATGATAAAATGTAGATCGGAACTTTATTAGAGGTGCATTAGAAGACACAAATGTTTAAATATGGAACACATACATATATTCAAGTATGTATTATATGAATGAAATAAGACGTTTTTCAAAGTATATATGGAAAACGAAGCAAATAAAGAGACCAGCCGAAAGAAAATGACAAACAAATCGTCGTCAAAGCTACACAGTGCAACTCCATTCGGAAAGATGAACAAAAAGTCCCTCGGAGATAAGGAGATTTTTATGAATTATTAATAGATGCATGCAATTTAAACTTTTTTGGCGTATATTTTAATGGCAAGTACGTCATAACAATTCTAATATTTCATATTCATTTCACAAATCTTTATGTTAAAGTAGAAAATGTGATTCTGATAATTAATGCATTTTCCCCAAAAATTCGTACCGGTGACGTTTACGTATTTTTTGACGTCGAAGATTGCGCCGGGTGGTAGGACACGGTAACATTAAAATGCCAATTAAACGTACGTTTTCCAAGTAATGATGTTAAAACTTCGTAATTTATCAGCTAAAAACACACTTTATACACCCACAAAATTATATAAAAATACCTTGATTTCTGCAATAGATATGAACTCAGTTTACGGAATTTTGGGACAACCCTCGTATATATATATATATTATATATATATATATATATATATATATATATACACACACACGAGGGTAATCCAAAAGTTATGTCACAACTTTGATAAAATTTCCACTAGTCGACGTAAAACAACAAAATTATAAATGTTGGAAGCTATGTTTATTTCAAATCAGACCTGAAAATTTCAATTCAATATGATTTATACATTTATAAATATCGTATTATATACAAAGTGCGATTTTGGTTGTCGCCGCATCTAATTAACGTCATATAATGGATACATGCCGTCATACATCCAAACGTTTCCCAATAAAAAATATTTGAGATTCACGAACACTTTCAAAAATTTCTGTTCTTTAAGAATTCTTGGTACCCATCGTACACTAACTCTTTTCATAATTAAGTCCTCTGTCAAAATTCTTTGAACAGTACACAAGACAAAGTTTTCATATCCCTTTACATAACAGATACACGCATGTCTTTTGACAACATCAGACACCAGTTAAACGTTTCTGTCCGACCTCTCATCTTTCGGTCTTCCTCTCCTCTGCTAATCATTCAATGACCCATCACCCTCCCCAAAATCGCTGAAGCCACCAATAAACAAGACTCTTATTTACATTCTTTTCAATATGAGTCTGATTCATCAACGTAACTGTCTCTGTATACTGGTAATTTCCCCATTTTGAAGTAAAACTGCAAAATGCATTACGACTCGTTGCGGCACCCCCCCCCCCATTTTGACAAGTCCCTTTGTTCAATGCATCAGAGTAAAACACAATGTTTATTATCAAAAATAGCAATGACGTCATTTAATTTTCAACTAATCATTAGAAAATGACGTAAATTTTGTCTTAAAATTAATTTAAGTCGCGTTTTTAGAAGTTTTTTTTTATGTGTTTTTATTTTCATCCTAGAAAAAATACTCTTTAAAACATGACGTTTAATTATGACGCGGCGACACCCCCAATGTCTTATGTTTGGAACAACTACAAAATGTATTTAATTCAACATTACTAAACCAAAATTTCAATGTTAATTAGATTTATATATGTGCATATTTTGGTGTATTGTATTTGATAATATGACGCCAAATATAAAAGATATTGACACTGTGACATTTACTTTTGGATCAACCCTCGTGTGTGTGTATATATATATATATATATATATATATACTTTTCGTTATTGGCATCTGATAAAGCTCTATCTAGAATTTTACAAATTATACAAGTTTTTTCTCATTACCATGATTACTGCTCGCCAAAGCACACGCACATAAAATTTCGGTCAGTCAAGATCAATTTAACTCGACCATCATAAAATATCATAAAATTTAACGAAGAAATACTTTCAGACAGAGACCAGGAGAAATTGTTCGGAAGAGAGGTCATTTGGATCCGTAAAAAAAAAAAATGCGAAGTGCCCGGACAAATTTTCCGAATTTTATCCTGTAGTTATAGCGGCATGAAGGAGAAAAAATATCTTCGTGTGATTTCTTTCCGGGAAGATTCATTAATCGTAAAGTGGTAATTTGGACGCCAGCTTCCGCCAATTCTATCAATTGATAGATCTATAGGGTTTTACCAACTCTGTGTACAAAATATGCCTTAATGTGTATACCAGATAAATATCGCACGCGCACTTGCTCCAGCATGCACATGTAGCTCTATATACAAGGCTGGAAAAAATAGAAGACCATTAACTTAGTTTTTTGCTTATAACCATTATATTTTCCAATCCCTCTCGCAGACTTCTTGGATAGGGGTAAGTTCAGGTTTCTAAACATTTACAAAGATTTCCTATTATCTTCTTATTTTCGTATGCAGTGTAAACCTGAGAAATATAATTAGTCTGTACTTTAATTTATTGCACTTTGCTTTCACAAAAGTAAACAAAAAAAATGTAGATTTCAACATATATGCATGCAGTCCTCTATTTTTTAAGTTTAAGTAAACAAATGCATATATGTCTAAAAGAATATTGGTTCATTTTTACCGACAAAAGATTTTGCAATGGTCTCGGACAAAATGGGCAATAAATTATAGCTAGAGAAACTTTGGGAATTCAGGGGTTGTATAAATCGGATTGCAGTGGACTAATTAGTTTTTGGGAGCGGTAGGTATATTTTGTAGGGGACTTGTGGGATTAGGGTAGGGTCGGTATTTCACAGACAATCTTCTATTAGATTAAGATAGCCATTTCCATTTTTTGTATTTCTTGATGAACATTTACCCCCCTTGGTATTTCAATGCTCCGATAAACATTCCATCCCCCGGTCTGGTATTCCTTTGGATAAACATTCCCTTCCCATGTATTCCCATGGATAGACAGTTCCTGCCCTATTTTCCCTTGAATAAACATTCCCATATGGATGGTCATTCCATTCCCTTGGTCTTCCATTGGATAGATATTTCCATCCCTTGGATACACACTTCCTTCCCTTAGTGTTCCCTTAATAAGACATTCTCTTCTCTTGGATAGACGATGCCGACTCTCGTCCGATGGTTAAATAACTGGAGTATTTTACTAGAACCCACACTGGTTATTCTTTAATTTGTTTTTTACATGTGCTTGACAATAACATTAAAACAATTTTCTAAATCATTATTAATTTATAATTTAGGATTGGCGCTTAACGCTCACGCATGTACTGGCGTTTTCTTTTCGTGCAAAACCAAATACAGGTAAACTCGCAAAAATGTCAATAAATGATAATTGTATAACACTCGTTTTTTTTATGCCCCCGTATGGAAGATATGGGGGCCCTGTCCGTCCGTCTGTCTGTCTAGCTGTCTGTTTGTCCGCAAAAACTTTAAAATTGCCCATAACTTTTGATTGGTTGGAGCTACGGCTTTCATATTTCACATGTGTATTCCTTATGACGAGACCTTTCTAAGGGTTTCATCATGTTTGACCTTGAAGTTTGACCCAGTTTTACAAAATGTTACCTAACTTTAACCTTGGCCATAACTTTTGAACGGTTGGTGCTAGAGGCTTTCATACTTCACATATGTAATCCTCGTGACAAGATCTTCCGTTGGATACCAACAATTTTGACCCTTTGACCTTGACCTTGGAGTTTGACCTACTTTTGAAAAACTTTAACATTGGCCATAACTTTTGAACAGTTGGTGCTAGGGCTTTTATACTTCAAATACGTCATCCTTGTGAAATGACCTTCCTTGGAACAGCAACAACTTTGACCCTCTGACCTTGGAGTTTGACCTACTTTTGGAAAACTTTAACCTTGACCAAAACTATTGAACGGTTGGTGCTAGGGGTTTCATTCTTCAAATATATCATCCTTGTGACAAGACCCTCCTTTGGATAACAACAACTTCGACCCTTTGACCTTGACCTTGGAGTTTGACCTACTTTTGGGAAACTTTAACATTGGCCATAACTTTTGAACGGTTGGTGACAGGGCTTTCATACTTCACATATGTAATTCTTGTGACAAGACCTTTCTTTGGATACCAACAACTTTGAACCTCTTACCTTGATCCTTTACCTTGACCTTGATGTTTGACATACTTTTGAAAAAACTTTATCCTTTTCTATATCTATTCAACAGTTGCTGCTAGGGCTTTCATATTTCACAGGTATATATTCCTCGAGACAAGACTTTACTTTTGGTACCAACATATTTGATTTGCATTGGAGAAAGTTTAACCTTTGCTATAAGTTGCCATACGGGTTCATCAGTGTTTCACAAACACATCTTAGTTTAAATTTATTTTTATTAGGTCAGTTGTGACTATGGATCAAAGGGTTGTGATAAAATGTTCGGGCGCAAAAATGTCATCGCTTGCCTCTATGTTGACGGTTCTCTTTTCATAATTCAAGTTCTAGTTTACGTTGTGCTCCTTTAATAGCCGACCTGTTTTTATATTCCTATATGAAGCAAAATTTCTTCAAAAACGTTTACGTGAGAAGAAAACAGGTGTCGTGGCCTTCAACTCAACATTAAGGCAGACATCAGTATAATTAAATCAATAGTAACTAACAATAGTAACTTCCATTCAAATGTCGTCTCGGTATATCTCAGTGATCTCGAAATAAAAGACATCACAAGTTCAGCCAAACCTGATTCATATTTGGATGTTTTACTGACTAAAGACGATAACGGCTAACCAACAACTAAAGTATACATGACAAACGATTTTCCTCGTGAGCTTTTCTCATATATGAAGTAATATTCCACTATAACCCGCATATTGTTTATGTCTCCCAATTTATTCGATACTCAAGAGCATACCCTGAGTACGATCAATTTTTAAACCGAAGTAGACTATTTACAAATAAGTTGATATTACAGGAGTTTTAACAACCTCGTTTAAAGTCAGCATTTCGTAAATTATATGTCGCTACGTAACCATAATGGCAAATACAAATTTTATTGTGTAGTTTTTTTTTTGACTGACATAATTCATACCAATTATTAGACATGTGTTTTCAAAGTAAATTTGACTACGGATTTTATTTAAACCCGCCTTCCATCAATTTAAACCATAGGGCTCACGGTGGATGTGACCTGTCGACAGGAGATGCTTACTCCTCCCAGGCTCTGAAATTTTCAGGGGTCTGTGCTTTAAGGGCATACGCAACGTACCTTACCTAATGATAATTTTTCAAGATGTTCTTAATTTAAAATTATAGTACCATCAGATGTTCACAGACAAAAAATCAGCATGCATTACCAGGGGTTTTGAATAGATATCAACTGATGAAAATTCTTCTATAATTCAAATAAAAATATGCAAAAATTACTATATAAACATATATTCTAAATGTTTTTTCATCCGAATTTGTTTTAGAAGAAGTATAAAGCACCATACAGAAACATTAAAAGAGTACAGCACAAATGTCCTTCAAGTATTGGAACTCTTCAACGCCAGGGAAAAAGACAATCAAGTTCAAACTATGTTGCATATGTCTTTAAGCCCTGTTCACAGCTCTGTATTATTTATAGAGTTTTTCTTTTTTTCAGATCGATCATTGTTCGTTATATATTCACCTATTTCATTGTAAACCACAACAATACATAATTTAAACATAACATTTGTAATTTCTTAATTGCAGACGACAACTGCGCCCCGTACTTTACCGAACTTTTACTTTAATTCCGATGGCGGGAGTAGACACCGATATAGGACTAGTAATCTCAGAGGGGACAACGGAAATTGTAGACAACATCTTCACCGGGAATCATGACAGTGGGGACACACCCCTCCTCAATTACACGGAGCCGGTAAGTGGTATTGTCCATCGCACCTGTTACAGGTATGGATAATGAATAAATGATAGCCTCCTTTAGTATGTACATGTCCCTACCTCATTGTAATTATTCACAGTACTTACAGGTCTGTCTAGGAATGTCTTTCCAGACGAAAATGCATGCGATATTTCCTTAGACCTGTATTGTTTTTTAAGAAGTAAAAAAATTAAAAAAAGGGCCGAGACTGTGTTTTAAAAACGATTCGAGTTTATTCTAATATTTCAGGTGACAATTTTAAGAATTATATAACGAGAAACAATTTGCAAAATCATTTATTTGTTGATCAAGGTGATACATTTTATCTATTTATATGTATATCAAACTCCCTCATTTCTAATCATTATCTGAACTGATAAAATTATAAACAAAAATTGAATGAATTTAAATCGTGTGGTCTTTGTAAGAGAAATTTATTGATTGAATAATATTAACAGGTGCAGATGAACCCTAGGCATAACACATTTTATCTAGGCTGCACGCAACCTGCACACAAAAATTCAGCAAAAAAATCTGAATGTGTATGATTACAAAGATTTTAAAGTGTAAGACAATTAATTTAGGCATACCAGATATCCCTGAATACAAAAAAGAAGAAAAAAAAACAGATTAACATGATTAGAATAATCTTTACATTTTTAATTTTTTTTTTTTTGGATAAATTGTGCAGTTTAAGAACTTTATTAAATTTGACAGTTTTTGTAGCAATGTAATCTTGGGTTACCGTTACAGTAAGCATTTGTGTTTAAAGAATGTTAAGTGAAGTCACAAGATATCAAAGGAGATGTGTAGTTTTAATGTATTTAATTCCTTTCCCCAAATCATTCTTAACACTTGTTAATGTGGTGTTAATGGCATTGACATTTGCCATGAAGTACGTTTAAAAAAGTCTCAAGAATTAGGATCATAAAGTTTTAGAGTAAATACTTAGCCATGAATTTAAACCTAGTTTAATAATATGCATCCCTTGTAAAGAAAATAGTATTCTACTGATAATTCAATGCACAAATATTTTGTCTTTTTTTCTCTTTTATTTAAATGACTGAAACATACATAGAGTATGTCGCAGTGCCCCTAGGTGTGTCAAACAGCTTAGCTACAAAAACATGTTACTGAATAGAATGATCAGATATTAGGAAAAACTGTTGTGTTTATGCGGTCACCTTAAAGTGTTAGAGGGGTTTCATTTGTGAGAGAATGCAGTGTCTGATTTAACTCCCTTTCACTGACTTTTAAGATCAAAAGAAGAAAAGGCCATTGGAAGTGGGGGTGCTTTGATTGTGATGGCACCCCTCTTTGGAAAAAATATCATTTTTGAAAAAAAAAATGATTAAAAGATAATTTTGCAAGATTTTGTTAATTTAACTTTTGGAAAAAAAAAATGACATCCAGAATGCACCACTACTCATCAAAATGAGAGATGGAACCCCTTATAAGCCCCTCCCCCCTCTCCTGCACTCCCATTTCCAGGAACATTTTGACAGCCCTGAAGAGATAGGAATTTTACCATTCTTTTGTATTTTTAGTATTAAAAAAATATATACATTGTAATATATAAATCCTCAGCCCTAATACACTGCTATTTAGCTAAAGTTCATAATATTAAATGCTGCAAGATTTTGTTGGTTTTAATTGGTTTTAAATATTCTTGATAAAAAGTTTATGTTCTTAATATAAATGAACAACAAAAAAATTATTTCCACTGCCTTGCTCTGACATTTTTTAATCACTCAATGAATGGAAACTTCATTATATGAATTATAGGTAAACAAAAGCCGCAACATTTAAAGCAATGTAAAATCTACCAGACCTAAGACTGATGTGAATTGATCATGGCCATTGAGGGGGGAAAAGTAACAAATATTTCTTGCAAAATGATTGATAGTCAATCTCTCACCATCTCTCATAAAAATCTTGTACCTCTCCATGGATTAGACATGACAGTGTATTTTGTAGGTATCTGTTATATCAAGGTTCAAAATAGAAATTTCACTGTTTAGTCTCATTGAAAACTACCATGTCTGGTCATGAAAAACTTGTTTCTATAATTACAGTGTCAACTCAAATAATATCTAGTTGTCTTTAAACTTTTACATTATGGATACAAATATACACAAAGATTTAAATTAGCATTCCACATCACAAAGGAATTGCATTACTAAAAGATTATATTGTTGAAAGCAAATTAAAATATGTTATTTATCAAAAGAGATGAGATTGTACAAGTTCAATGCTTAGAAATGTAAATGTAACTAGTATATATAATTTTAGGGACACTTACCCCATGGAATCAAATTTTTTTTTTTTACTGTTATACTGAAATGAGTGGAAAACCGTATAAATAATTTTTAGTTTAAAACATAAATATCTATAATAGAAATGTATTGCAACCACTGTTGTGAATTGATAAGAACTTCATCATGATACATATCATATCGCAGCTAGGATATAGTTCCAGATTATTATGTACGGATAAGAACTTTATCATGATACGTATCATATCGCAGCTAGGATATAATTCCAGATTATTATGTATGGATAAGAACTTCATCATGATACGTATCATATCGCAGCTAGGATATAATTCCAAATTATTATGTATGGATAAGAACTTCATCATAATACGTATCATATCACAGCTAGGATATAATTCCAGATTATTATGTACGGATAAGAACTTCATCATGATACGTATCATATTGCAGGATATCTGTCTGAGACCTATCATGCACTGATAAGAATGAAATATGAAGATAGCAAGTAGTAATCAAGCTCAAAAGTCCATTGAAACAATACAAATCAGGAGCAGAGAAAAGATGGACCTCTAAAAATATCAGAGGTGGGATCAGGTGTCATAGAGGAGTAAGCATCCCCTGTAGCATTCTATAGCATGATATGTATCGTTAGAACAGAATGCCCATATTATTCCAGACATTGTGTACTTATAAGAACTACATTGTGATATGTATTGTGTCCTATATCATTCAAGTCCTATTGTGTACTAATGGGAATTACATATATTGACTACTAAACTGTTTGTCAACCCTTTTTTGCTGATTGACTTTTGTGTGGCAGATTAATAATCATGCCATTTATGGAACTTAAGATGTAAATGAAACCTCTTACATCTTTCTGGACAATAAGGCCAAATAAAAAAATATGTGTGGTTCCGGTTACACCTCCAAACAAATTAGGGTAGGTAGGTAGTTTTTTTTTTTGTTTTTTTTTAATATAATAAAAGTCAAAAATATCATTGAATGTTCTTGAATTAACTATTGGTGATATTGGTGAGATAATACTATTGCTTCCTATCAAGTGGTGACATTTGTAATGGACAAAACACTTGTACTGCGTGTTGAAACGATGTTGTCAAAGAAGGCCACCATTGCTGAAACTAAAACTAATACCGGAGCCAATGAGGGAAATCAGGGAAAATTCTGGAAATTTGAAAATTGTCAAAAAAAAGTTTAGGGTCGGGGGTATAAAATAGGGACGGTCAGGTAACTGGAACCACACATATTTTTTTATTTGGCCTAAGTTAAACGTTCCAAATTCATAAGTCTTATTGTTATAAATTGATATTTTGAATGGATTCCAGAAGAATTCAGTACTTGAATATGGAGAGAGAGAGAGAGAGAGAGAGAGAGAGAGAGAGAGCACTAACTACTGAGGAACAATGCAGTATTGATCTTTTTGACCTTGACCATGGATGGAGAATCTAGAGAAAGTCCCCCATTGATTCTTGTATCTGAGAATATAAACCATCACAGTTCTTCCTGATGGTTAACCCTGACAGACAAAGAAAAGAAAAAAATCCTCCCAAACATTGGTAATACAGAAGTATTCTGGTTGATAGAAATTGAGTGCATTGGAAGAATTATCAGATGCATTACAGTAATATTAATGTAGTTTTGATGCAGTAATATTAATCCAGAACTAGGTGCTTCTCATATATTAATCATATAAAAGACGGTCCTTGCTTGACCCTAGTCCTAAAACTCTTGAGGAATGAATAAAGCATAAGGCAATATTGAATCCCCGAGTATTGTCAATATGTATTACATCAGTACATAAACAAATGTTTTATCTTATGAAGACCCAATACACTACACAGCAATATGAATGAGAGAGGTGCGAGGCACGTCGTAAAATGTTTTATAGATGTGTGGTAATTGAACAAGTGAGGCAGTGGGACTAAAACAGTTATAACCAGGGAGCAGGGGGAGAAAATATAAAGAAGATATGAAAAAAACAAACTCTGAAGCAGATACAACAGCTGCTGAGTTAATAGCTGAACTGTAATTTTTTGTCCCAGGTTTAGCAAAAACCTGTGGCTAATTGCAATTTTTTTTTTAACTGAATGTGAATTTCTTCTTAAGGATATGCCTAAAGGAGTGAATGTAAGTATTATTATATATATGGTAAGATTCAATGTTTTATTCATTATATGGTGGGTCGTAGATTTTGTTCTGTGACTTGCCCTGTGGCTGATTCATTAGGTACGCTTGAATAATAAAGAAGTCTGGGAGAATTTACCTTCTGATGAACTTGGGGAGAAAGTATATAATATGGAAATTTTGTATTTAGTTCATTCTAGACTCATGTGTTGTTGCAGTACAAAATAAATTTGATAATGAAATAGACCTTCACCATGTAATTAGGAGTATTATTTTTCTGGTTTTGGTTAATTACTGCACTTGAAATGAAACCAATACCTTGTCTGTATATTCAACTATATTGTTGGTTTGTTTTTAGTCAATGTATTTCAGTAATGACCCATTTAGTATTCATGCATGGTAAATTAAGGATTCAGGTCCAATAGCCTGATTCATATGATGACCATACACTGGTTATCTAAACTGAACAAAATGTTCACTTTCCTGTACCCAACTTCCATTAGTCAAGAAATGGCTCCACCCTTAATTTAATAATTAAAGTTTGAGTGATATTATTAAATTTACTTATTAGTGCCTAATAATGAACAATTAATATCCTCAAAGTAAGAACGCTGAAGAAGTCCCTGAGAGAGTAGCGGAAATAGTATTATCTTTTAAATTGGCAATGAATCTCTTCACATTGTCATACGAGATTGTATGGCATATTTCTATTGATGACTTTGCCATATTTCCCTGCTTCCTTACTTGGCTAGCTGTGACAAAAAGGGCTCAGCCATTTAACAGTTTGGAGAGAGAAAGCCCGGTCTTGTCACATATAAGAATGAATTTAAGGGGGATTAGCTTGAAGTTGGATGGAGAGCTCTCAGCTTTTTGATGGGGACCCTGTACAGTTATCTGTGATGTTGACTTAGGACATTAGTGTGTAATCAGCATAATTGCCTACTGTTTCTGGTGAAAAGACTCCCGTTGGACATCTTATCTGGCCTATTGACGACCAGGTCCTCGATGAAAGTGACAATGAATTGGTAGCCTAGATCGGGTGTTGTAATGACTGAGCGTGTGTATAGACCTTGATTATAACCAACATAAGATAACGGTGTACAAATATTGAACATTGTTGAATTTCAAACATTTACAGAGTTGTAATACAACTTTGTGGCCTTTTGGAGTTAAATTTCAAGGGTGTGACTTTTGGCTGCAGGAGTAAAATTTTTTAGACATGTTTGATTCTTGGAATTTTGTACGATGGACCGAAGAAATGTTCCAAAAATTGTAATATCATGTGAGCAGGTTGGTATTGATGGATGTATTTAAAATTAAGATTTGACCTATAGATCCAGTTAGCTTATCTTAGGCCACAAATTCAAAATGAATTTCATTTCAGAATGACCTTAAGCTGTTCTATTTAAAAATAAGGCTAGGACAACTTTAATCTTGGAACACCAAAAGACAAGGTCTCTTAAAAACTCTGAAGAGAATGTGGAATTTATGCATGCAGTCCTAAACTAACGGAGGTGTAGCCAAGTTTGAGTTAAATGCTGATAAATTGTTTGGGGATGTTTAGCATTTTTCAGGTGTTTAATATAAGCCATTGTTATTTTAGGAAAGAATACATCATGTTTAATCATAATTATGCTGTAACGGAACAGAAAAATGCCATGAGTCAATTAAATCATTGGATTGTTATATATCTGCAGTGGCACACTGTTATCTATCATGGTCTTCAGTGCAAGAATTCAGAGTCGGTGGGGGGGGGGGGGGGGGGGGGGGGATGGGGGCAATCTTAAAGAAGCTCAGTCATTTTGGTTTCTGGACCATTTACATACCATCCTTTATAGTGGTTACTTAATTATTTGAATTTTGTCTATTTTTTTTTTTTTGGATCACACATTTATGAGGTTTGAAGGAAATGGGGGAGGGGTGGGGGGTAGGGTCCATTTTGTTCAGTAGAAGTTAAATTAATTGGTCGAGCAGTTGGTGAGGGAGAGGAGTTCTGAGTTCAGAGCCATGCAGGCAGCTATTTCTAAAACGTCTGCTTCATATGTGCATTTTACAGAGTATTTAAGTACAGTTGGATTAGCAAGAAATTGATAGGGATTAGAATGATCCATTCAGAGATAGAGATAAGTCTTTGTCTAGCTTGGTCCTTGCGATTTCAGCTGTTTTTTTTTACACATTGACAGGTCTCACATTAATACTTCACATTTAGACATGTACAGTCATTTAACAGTGCTTGATGGGGTTTAGTATCCAATAGTTTTTTCTATAGATCTTCTTTTGCAATATGTGTGTTACTTGCAGTTGTGTAAAAAAAAAAATCTTAGAAAGGATTCTTGCAAAAAGTTTAGTGTTTCCAAACTTTTAATTAATAAAAAAGATGAAAAGCATGCACTTTACATAGGTTTACATTGATCGAGTTCACAGTTAATGCATCTTTATTTATGATAAACTGGGGTTTTATTTTGAACATAGCATTCTCAGCAATACAGTGCTTTAAAGGTTTAATAAATGTTAAATTTTCTGAAAGAAATATTTACTGGTGAAAAAGCCTGGTATTCTCTTACTCTGAGGGGAGTTTTACATTGAGATAAATCTCTCCACTGACCCATAACGCACCATCTTACCGAGATTATGGCCGCTTTTGATTAGGGGTTTTAAATGAGTGTACAAACTTTTCACTCTGTTAGTAATGATCCATCGTGTTCAGCTACTGATAAACTTAATGTTTTTTTCTTCTTTATAATACTAATTTAAATATTTTTTCTATTCAATGTACGTGTGATAAATGGGAGTTTTGATGTATGAATTAACCTTTGTTTATCTTGATTGGTTTCTCGTATATACATTTTTGATTTTCGTAAAAAATGTATATTAAACAATCCCATTTATAGTATTTTTTTGTTATGCTGTCTAATGAATTTCTCTTCAATGATTGCATATTTCAACAGGTGAACTTCCTAAGATTTGATTTACATTATGTTTTACCACAATTTATGCATAGGTTCCTCTTTTCCATCTTCCTACAAAACCTTCCTTACATCATAAGGTGTCCCTATGGGGGATTATATTAAAGCAGGAGGAATTATGTAAGAAATAAGATTGCTGGGGTGCAGTATGAATAAACAGGGCTAGAATCTAGCCCAAGAGAAGGTGGGATACCAACCTTCAGGTGTTTTTAAACTGTTTTGATTATAAATGCAAAATTAGGTAATATTTACACGTCAGTTAGCACATTAGACGGTGAGACGTGATTGCCACAATACACAACGGTTCTTTATTTAGGAGAGTCATACAGTTAGTTTTATAGTATCAAGTCTGTATTCAGGAAATGGAGGGTACAAACTCTGAAGTATGTATATATTTTTTATAATCATGCAAGGTCCAAAATTAAATAACCCTTTCCAATTATTTTTAATTTCATAATCCATTCAGTTAATGAAGGATTTGACTTTCAATATTAAAGAGCTGATCGAGTGTTGTACATAAAAAGTGAATAAAATGGCAATACAGTATTGCCGTTTAGTGCTAATTGAAGCCATTTTCTTATTTAAGTGTTGGTGACATTAAAAATCTTATAAATTATAAATGACTCACTTTTGTCTTTGTATAATTACTGATCAACACTTCATTTTGTGGATAATGTATACCACTAGCATTAATCATTAAACAATCCCTATTGTTACAAAATAGATAGAAAAATGTCCGACCTACTCCCTCAGTATTACATTATACTGTACATGTATATGTCACTGCTTTTAATCTTCAGAATCTGTTACATACAGTAAAACATGTTTTTAGCAAACCTGCTTAAAATGAATTTACAGTTACTGTGAAGTGATTTTCATTCCTTGTGGTATTAAAACATAACAGATATAATTACATTTATAATGAAGCAAAATTGTTAGTCCCTGTCACTTCACTATACATTTGAACTTCGGTATCTCGAACACTGATATCTCGAATACCATGGATATGTTGAAGTGATTTGTAAGTCCCAACTGCTTATTTTTTTAAGTATTTTTTCCCCTCAGTATCTCGAATCATCGGATATCTCAAAGTTTTTCCTTGGTCCTATCGAGTTTGAGATAATGAGGTTTGACTGTATATAAGTATGATTACTGTATTTGTATCATCAAAGATTTTTCATATCAGAGTTTGAATAGAAATTCAAACATTATGAGACATGAGATTGTCATGAGAATGTCAAAGTCAAAAAGCTCAAGATAGTTGACATGTCCATCGATACTGTACATTTGCTATGTACACACAATATTCTGCATATTTTGTAACAACTGCAGATCATACATCATATATGTAAGGTTGAGATGGTGAAAGAGAAACTTGCAATTTTGACCTTGTTCTTTTTAGTGTCGAGGTCACCCAGAGGTCATGGTCTAAAAATCAAGATGATATTAGCATATTTATTGTGAAGCCTTGGGTAACTTTATTATTAAGATTCCTTGTTAAATACTAGATAGAATTGGCAGAATTCTATGATTTTTACAGGACGTGGTGATAAATGAGGTGGACGACGGACAGCCCTGTTTGGCCTGCGGAGAGAGATGTACAGGGTTTACCCAGCACAAATGGAGGTTTGTGACAGAACTTTTGTTATATACAGTGGAATCTTTTTAGTTCATGTCAATGTTCGTGGGCAAGCAAAATTTGACTGTCCCGTGGAGAATTTAGTTCATTGTTAGCTGTATATTCAAAAGATTCAATGATCTGATATGTTAATGAAGTTATTGTTTATGGGGATGTAAATTCATGGGTATCATGGATGACCCACTAAATCAGTGAACATTGGTCCTCCACAAATGATGATGATTCTTAATTATGGTAGTATAAATTGTACATTCACATGGTACATGTATTGCTAAATGACGAACAGAGAAATATTCATTATAAGCCGATGCATATACATATATATGCAGATGTATGGATACATGCACTTGTTACTATAGAGCTCTGCATGATATTTCTGAATTAAATGTGGTTCAAGTAAGCAGATCGAAAAAGAGCAAGAATGTGTCATCTTAATTTTTCCAATTTGATCAAGATACATCTTAATTTTTCCAATTTGTTCAAGATACAAGACTAGTAATTTCTGGTATATACATGTATCTCTCTCTCTCTCTCTCTGTACACATAATTATTGTTGAATATTTAACTCAATTATAGGTTCAACTTGGTAAATTTTTGAAAATTAGAAATACCTGTACTTTGCTAAATGTTTAACAAATCCTCTTAAGGAGGTTCGATCCTGAGCTTTTGGGCAGATTTTGGTCTGGACCTTTATTTCTAAAAGTCTGCATCATTTTTAAGTTCTAACATTAAATCTGGATTCTACAATGCAAATTAAATTATATCCAATGAAAAAACCGTGATTAGATTCCATTCAAATAGGATTAAGCCAGGAACTATATTTTGTGGCGGAAGGTTTTTAAGAAGAAAATTATCAGTTTTTCCCTTTTGAAATACATACAGTACTGTTAAGTTTAGATTCCTTTTTTTCCATGCTGGTTGCACACAGAGCTGTTTTTGCAGTGAAATGTTTTATGCTGGTTCTGAAATATCTATTAAATTATTTCTTATGAATTTTTTTATTGTATTGTGACAAATATAGTAAATATATTCTGAAAGTCCAGGAAAAAATTGAGCCAATTTTAGCATAAAATTAAACACTTTTTTAGTAATATCTAAAAATTTACATCATAGACCCCCACTTTTGTTTTTCTTTTCTGAATATATTAGATAATGTTGATCAATCTGGTTAAATTCAGCAAAAGTTTAAGACTTTAAAATAATTTTCTTGCATGTTAAATTTTTAATGCTAGAAAAATCACATTTTGTGAGTGCAGAAAGGTCAAATAATTGATTATGCAAAGCAATTTGAAACTTTTTCTTAGTCACAATTTTAATGTGTGATAGTTTATTTTGTCCCATGATTTATTTGGATAAAAACATTGGAGGGTAAACGTCGAAGATATGATTTTTGATTAAGACACAAATTTCAGTGCAAAAAGGTCATATTAAATTTACTGTAGCGCCAAAAGAAGCATATTGACGCCCATTTTTTGTTCTGATTTTTAATTAAGCTATATGTGTAGAAACTAAAAATATACTTGACAAAAAAAGTTTAAGACTCTAAATATCAGGATCCAACCTCGTTAAGTAAAACCAGGCTAACATTGATTTCTAAGATTCCATTGTAATAAACTCATATAACTTTTCTTTCCATCATGATTTTTATGCCCCCATAATGGAAGATTTGGGGGTATACAGTTTTTGCCCTGTCCACCCGTCTGTCTGTCTGTTTATCTGTTTGTCCGCAGAAACTTTAACATTGCCCATAACTTTTGATTGGTTGGGGATATGACTTTCATATTTCACTTGTGTATTTCTTGTGACAAGACCATTCTTTGAGTACCATCATATTTGACCTTTTGACCTTGACCTAGGAATTTGACCCAGTTTTGCAAAACGTAATCCAACTTTAACCTTAGCCGTAACTTTTGAACAGTTGGAGCTAGGGCTTTCATGCTTCACATGTGTAATCCTTGTGACAAGACCTTCCTTTGGATATGAACAACTTTGACCTTTTGACCTTGATCTTGGAGTTTGATCTACTTTTGAAAAACTTTAACTTGGGCCATAACTTTTGAATGGTTGGAGCTACAATATGTAAGGCTTTCATATTTCATATGTGTATTTCTTGTGACAAAACTTTCCTTTGAATACCAACAACTTTGACCCTTTGACCTAGGAGTTTGACCTACTTTTGAAAAAATTAACATTGGCCACAACTTTTAAACAATTGGTGCAAGGTCTTTCTTTCTTCACATGTGTAATCCTTGTGACAAGACCTTCCTTTGGATACCAACAACTTTGACCCTTTGACCTTGACCTAGGAGTTTGACCTACTTTTGAAAAACTTTAACCTTGGCCATAACTTTTGAACAGTTGGTGCTAAGGCTTTCATACTTCTCAGGTGTAATCCTTGTGACAAGACCTTTCTTTGGATACCAACAACTTTGACCTTTTGACCTAGACCTTGGAGTTTGACCTACTTTTGAAAAACTTTAACTTGGCCATAACTTTTGAATGGTTGGTGCTAGGGCTTTCATACTTCACATGTATAATTCTTGTGACAAGACCTTTACTTGGGCACCATTAATTTTGACCATTTGACCTTGACCTTTGAGTTTGATCTACTTTTGAAAAACTTTAACCTTTTCCATATCTATTCAATGGTTGTTGCTAGGGCTTTCATATTTCATAGGTATTTTCCTCGAGACTAGACCTTACCTTGGGTACCAACATATTTATTTTGCATTTGAGAAAGTTTAACCTCACTATAAGTTGCCATACGGGTCATCAGTGTTTCACAAACACATCTTGTTCTTCAAAGTATCAGCTAGCAGCTAAAATGCAGGTACAATATAGTATGTAAAGTCCTTATTATTTATTTCAAATATTTCCTTTTTGAAATTGTAGAAGTGGGTAATAAATGATTAACTATAGATTAAACTTAAATGGAGTTCATAATTATGTAGATATGGACAGTTATAGATAATGATTTAAATGCATTACATGCTTAACTTTAAAACAAGTGAACAACATTGTGTATTTGTGCTTTTATAGGAATACATGCAATGTGTGCAAATGTCCAAGGGAACTACATGACATCTACAACGAAAACTTTGTCAACATCCGTGACAGACTGGGATGGAAACGAGACAATGACCCCACAGCTCAGGTCAGCAAGGACCGCACCCTCAGGGAGGGGTATACCTGGATCCCCCCAGGCTTGTCCTCAGAACAGGTAAAGGTCACGCACTTACAGATATGAATGGAAGTGGACACACAGTGGTCACTTTTGTCAATCTTTCTATGGGTATCTCAAATATGACAGCAACATGTACACCAGGGTCTATACAGTTTACTCACCTATAGTTGTCTGTATTGATGACTTTCAGATTACACAGAAAGGGACACATGTACTTGCTAAGCAGTCTTTATAAGTAGACAGTTGTGATGGCCTATCTGTCATTCATCTAATCTTAACAAGAGGGTAGATGACAAAAACCCTCCCTTAAAAACAGCTTCGCATTGAATGTTTGGTATTACTCGGACCAACAGAGGATGAGAATATCATACAACATAAAGGCTTGCTCCTTTTTACAGACTGTTAATTACACATTTTTAACAAAAATGCATTAATGCATGTAGCATCCTTATTCCTTAAGCACTATGAAGTTCTAAACAATGAGATATGAGTTTAAGGACATATACAACGTAGTTTGAACTTTATATTCTTTTTCCCTGGAGTTGAAGAGTTCCAATACTTAAAGGAACTGTGTGCTACATTTTAATGTCTATAGATGCTGTTGTACACTTCTTCTAAAACAAGTTTGGATAAACAAAACATCTAGAATATATGTTTAGTAATTTCTGTATATTTTTCTTTGAATTATACAAAAAAATTTCATCAATTGATATCTTTTCAAAACTGCTGGTAATGCATGCTGATTTTTTGTCTACGAACATTGGATGACACTATAATCTTAAATTAAGAATATCTTGAAAAATTATCAGTAGGTAAGGTACGTTGCATATGCCCTTAAGGGCTCTAAAATTCAGCCTTCATTCATTTGTACTTCTTTTACAATGAAAATATCTGAATGATTTACACCCATCCAGAACTTAGGAAAAATAAATTGCCTTTCAGTGGAATAGGTGGTGGTACACCAGCATATAAAGCTTCAATTTCGCATAAGGATGCTCCTTTGTTAATGGTCAAGAGATTTTTGACACTGAAGCCATATAATTGTCTTTTAATTGACTGTTTAAAAAGTTTAAAAAAAGAACAGTTATTAATAAGCATAAGTGAAGGCACCTCTGTATATAATGTATCATATCAAACTGTTGAATAGTGATGTCTTTGGTATATTATGCATCAAAGTTTGTATTAATGCTGGAAAAATCAGGTAAAATCTCCATGGTTTAATTAAATGCATGCGGTGTTTTCTGCAACAACCAAGAAATTAAGCCTTCCCAGAAATTCACATTTAATTAATAAAAGTGTTCTACTTGCATGTCAACACATTTGTAACTAATTGGTATTCTAAGGTTGAAGGAAAATTACTTTGGTCTACTAAGGTTGAAGGAAAATTACTTGCAACAGCATTTTTTTTCTAAATAATTAAATTTTTTTATTCTAAAAATTATTTTCAAAATTTTTCAGGAAGAGTCATGATTTATTGAGCATTTAAACAAATCCTTATAAAATATATGGTTCCAAAAATTTCTTTTATTGTTACTACATGTATAACCAGACTTCATTTTCACAGGCACTTGTTTCTGTAATTAAACTTTACCCCTATAGTGTTATTATTATACTATGGGGGTAAACTTTTATACAGAAACAAGTGCCTTTGTTAATTTTCATTTATACAAGAACTAGTTACAATGACCAAGATGTTCATCTTTATTGTACAAGACTAAGTTGCAATTTAATAGACTCTTAGTATCACACTGAGCGATAAACATCAAAAAGATGTGAGTTTTGCCAACACATCATAAACCTGCAACTATATTAAGATGTGTTTTTTACTCTTGTCAATAAAGCGATTTGTTCGCTACTGGAATGTAATGAATCTGTGATGAATATTGAGATGCAAGTTGCTCATCATTACCGTAGAAATTTGGTTAGAGGTAATGGTGGGGAGAGATTGAATCTGGCTTTATAGCATTCCTTGAAGAATATGAGATAAAGATACCCATGTGATGTTGAGTGACTGAAAGTCCCTCCAACGACTTAATGAAGTGGGTTATGAGAATTTTTTGGAGAGGTTCAAAACTTGCTTGCACATGCCCTTTAGATTTTTTTGTATACAACCACTTATTATAACATGTTTGTATTAGTTTTTCTTCCCCTTTGTAAAACATCGGATTTCCTTTGTGCAATACTGTATTCTCAAGTGTTAAAAATTCTGTAATTATACTAAGGGCGTGGAATGTTTATTCATATCCCTAACAATTTCTATAGTTCGTATTCTGTAAAAGAATTTCGCTGATACATGTATCTTTTTATTTTGTTTAACCTGTGGCTTAAAAAAGAAACGTACGATAATTAGATATGTTTACACTGTATCTGATCATTCAGATAATGAAGAGAAACGGTAGGATTACGCAATACGTTATTAGTCTTGTAGAAATGAAGTAATTCCAATTGTTTTTTTTATCTCGTAAGGATCTTATTATGCGTGTGGTATAAAAAGATAGGAGACTTTTGATTTGTTCTTTAATTTTTAGCAAGTCAGCATTTATGATATGCATATATTGACATTTTTAAAGTAGATGGTACAAAATTAATTAACAAGGAGCACTAATCCAGACCTCTTTGATATATTGTTTGTGTATCTTTTTTTTTAACATTTAATTTTTGCAAACAGTCGGTAGAGTAAATCAAATTACCCCCCCCCCCCCCCCCAAAAAAAAGATAAAAAATAAAAATCCAAAATCCACATTTTTTTTAAAAAGTTCTCCTTGATATTCAATAAATGATTCTTTAGGTGACCTCTACCTTAAATTTCTTTTATATTGATATGTTGTGGCTGATATAAGTGCTGCAGGTGAGAACTTTAGCTCCTTATTTGTTAATGGAGAAAGAATCATAAAAGTGTGTAAATGAATGGTAATTATATATGGCACTGCTAAAGTACATTTGTCCTCCAAAGGCTCAAAGTTTACATGTTCATTATATTTGTTAATTGTTATGTGTTCAGAGTCACAACTTGAGCAAGATTATCTGGTTCTTTAAAAAATTCTGTTGGTCTGGTACTTTCAGGGACAAGTGCCCAGTAAAATTTGATAAATTTTAAGTGTCTATAAAGACTTGAATTCTTTGTTCAGGAAATGTACAATATCTTCTTGTGAGAGAAAAGAATCAATGTGTTTATTTCTATTTTCAAGCCCCATATCTACTTCAAAGCCAAATCTACTCCCTCAAACATATTTCTCTACCACTGTTGCATCTATTCCAAAAAAAACCCCTCACAATTGCTCTTTTAAGTTAAGTTTATTTTAGATTTGATTTTGTCAAATAATCAAAAGAAGAGTTCACTACAAGAATGCATCTTGATATTGAACATTCACTTGTAAAAAATAACAGTACATTAATGCTGTCACTGTAGTCAGACTCAGAAAGTGTTGGTGCTGTTATATCATGTCTCCATTTCATTTTTAAAATGTTTTCAGTGTAATTAGGTTTGATATAATGTCCAAGACTGAAATTGATATGCTTTCAGTATTTTAGTTTGTTAAAATGTCCCAAGTCAGATTAATATATTAATATATTCAGATTAATATGAATACAAGGTGAAGATAATGAATAGTGATCAATCTAAAAAAAATCTAAAATCAGTACAAATCTCTGAATAGGGCATAAAATATGGATCCCCAGAAATTTCAGAGGTGGAATTAAGTGCCTAGGAGGAGTAAGCAACTACTGTTGACCACTCACACACTCCGTGAGCCCCATGTATTTATCAGGTAGACAGAATATTCCATAGCCAAATTTAGTTTAAAAACAAAGGCCTAACAATTGGTATGAAACAAATCAGCTAAAGTATGACCCAATGATAGGTTGTATTTGCCAACAAGGTCATTATAATGACCATAGAATTTAAAAAAAATTGCTGACTTTAAATGAGGTTGTTCAAATTCCTGTAACATCAACTTATTTATCCGTAGTCTATCATGTGTCCTCATTTCAGATTGATATTTTGTGCCCATCTCAGATTTTATACCCATCTTAGATTGATGTATACGTGTCCCCATCTCAGATTGATATTGTGTCCCCATCTTAGATTAATGTTTATGTGTTTTCATCTCAGATTGATAGAATGATGTCCCCATCTCAGATTGAAAGAATGTTGTCCCAATCTCAAATGTATAGAATTTTTTTTTCCATCTTAGATTGATATCATGTTGTCCCCATCTCAGATTGATCTATCATGTTGTGTCCACTCTCAGATTGATCTATCATGTTGTGTCCACTCTCAGATTGATCTATCATGTTGTCCCCATCTCAGATTGATCTATCATGTTGTGTCCACTCTCAGATTGATCTATCATGTTGTCCCCATCTCAGATTGATCTATCATGTTGTGTCCCCATCTCAGATTGATCTATCATGTTGTCCCCATCTCAGATTGATCTATCATGTTGTGTCCCCATCTCAGATTGATCTATCATGTTGTGTCCACTCTCAGATTAATATCTTGTCCCTATGTCAAAATTTTCCATCTCAGATTGTTATCATGCTCCATCTCAGATTGATTTCATGTGTCCCCATCTCAGATTGATATAATGTGTTCTCATGTCATATTGATATCATGTATTGCTCATCTCATTGATATCATGTTTCTTCATCTTAGATTGGATATTATAAGTGCCCATTTTTCAGATTGATAAAATGTTGTCCCCATCTCAGATTGATGGAATGTTGTCCCCATTTCAAATTGATGTAATGTGTCTCCATCTTAGATTGATATAAGTTGTTAATGTTTCAGATAGATTAGAATTTTGTCAATGTTTCAGATTGATAGAATGTTGTCAGTGTTTCAGATTGGTAGGTTGTTGTCAATGTTTCAGATTGTTTGAATGTTGTCAATGTTTCAGATTGTTTTCAGTGTTTCAGATATTTAGAATGTTGTCAATGTTTCAGATATTTAGAATGTTGTCAATGTTTCAGATTGAGGAGTACATGGAACAACTCCCAAACCATAAAATCCCCCTCCTGGGTCACCCCGGGGAGAGGTACCGTGACATCCAGATCATCAGGCAGCTCCCCAAACAAGATCTCTCCATGGAGTACTGTAAAATGCTCAGCTCCAGCATAGAAAAGAAGGAGTATAATATCTTCAGGGAGCTAAGGGACAACATTGCGATGGATATAGGAATCGTACAGGAAGCCGTCAGTCTGTCTGTAAGTGAAAAGGACTATATTCTGTACTGGCCAATATATGCCCCAAAAATTTAACTTTGATGAAGAAATTTTTAAATTATTTTCTAAACCAGGGAGATATTTGCAGACTTCAAGGCAATAAATATTTTCATAAACTATTTCATCATTAGTTAGATATGACGTCAAGAATATTATTCAAATTCAATATTTCAATGATTTTGAAAAAAAAGTGTATTTTATACCAATATTGATTGGAAAGTATCAAGCGCAGGTCTACTCAGACTTGATCTTTTGATATAATGAATGAAATGTGTGAAGACAGAACCTGAGCAAGTTTGTACTTGGTAAATACTGAAATGAAAATTGAACAAACTTTAACAAGTCCTTTTAAAAGATATCGGTAAAATCTTAGTAGTTTTTAATGTCACAGAGAAAAAAAAATTCAATTATTTATTTTTCAACTTTATTAAATATTTTGTTAATTATGGGAACAGGAATTAATATATGTCTTTACTGAATATAGTTCTTTGGGCAAGTTTGACAAATAAGTAAGTCATTAAAGAGACTAATTGGCTGAATTGGGATTTTCAGATAAAGTAGGTCACTGAAGCAAATTGGATTTCCAATATGACCACTGTGATTTTTACATGAGATAAGTTGACTGAATTGTTTTTGGTCACCATTTAAAAAACTAAAAGCAAAACTGATTTACCATTAGTTCTGAAAAAGTATTTTTACTTTAATTAGATTAACTAAATTAATGACTTTTCCCCTGTGTCTAATTTAGAAATTAAAAAAAAATTATGATCAAACATACATGACTTCAATAGCATAAAAACAGTTCACAGAGCAATATTTGTCCTGAATTTCTAGAGCAAGGCATGTAGAGTGATGTAAAATTGATTTGTCAGTGGGTGCACAATAATGAATGTTATTGGATTAGGGGTCTTATCATTGTTGTAATAATTTGCCATTATGGCTAAATTTGTCAATAGTAATTACTGTAAGGAGATGGATGATAGGAACCTTCACAGACCAGTCAGGCTTCTAGGAATAGTTCTGCATTGATTATTGACTGGATATAGGTTAAACAGTTCCCTTGAACTTGAGAAAGAAAGATAACTCTTTCAGACTACCTGAAAACCTTCCACTTTGTTCAAAAACTGATGTCAATATTTGAACAGTTTACAGTTTTATCTTTTTCCTCCTTTTCTAAACTCACTCAGTTATGGATTTGAACATTTCATTATTGAAAATGAAATTTACTAAAACCGTGTAAAGTACACCTTTTCTAATACAGTAATCTGAAATATTGCCTATAATGAAGAAATTTCTAATTAGTCCATTCAGTTTGTGTTTGTTGTTTAACGTCCCTCTGGAGAATTTTTCACTCATATGGAGACGCCACCACTTGGTGGTGGAGGGCTGCAAATTTTGACCTCTACTCGGCACTCAGGGCCATTGAGCAGCCCTGACACGGGACAAGGGACCTCGGTTTATATGGTCTTATCCAAAGGACCGGCCTCCATGTCTCATAAAGGATTCGAACCCACAACGTAAGGATCTACTCCTTACATCACGACACTAGAGAAAACGCGACTCCATTCAGTAAATACTATTGTATAAAATATTGTCTAATAAAGAAAGTTGTCTAATTTGGCAAATTTCTAAGGAATCAGTTGTGTCTAGATTAGAAATGTTTTGATTAATGTATTTTATACTGTATTTAAATGCTGTATTTTCATAAAGGTCTGGAGTTAACCAATGTATTCCATTAATTAATATCTGTGATAAGGAAACTTTTTAATTTTCTTTAAAATTAGAACTTTTTCAAAAATTTCCTTTCTCTTTCTAAATATACATGTAAATCAGTACTACTAGTATTAGTAATTAAATATAAAAGATATGGATAATTTTATCATAATTGATTTATTAATCAATTTTAAAAAAAATTATGTAATGTTTCTAAAAAAAAAAAATTAGACCCTCCTTTATTTCAGACATGTGACCAATGTAAGGGTGAGATCGAGCCAACAGACCTGGCAGTGTTCGCCCCTAAACTGGGGGCAGAGCTTTGCTGGCACCCTGCCTGTTTTGTATGCTCCAAGTGTGAGGAATTACTGGTGGACCTCGTCTACTGCTGTCACACAAAGAAACTGTTTTGTGAGAGACATTACGCTGAGCAGATCCGCCCCCGATGTCCTTCCTGTGATGAGGTAAGAGTTATCTTTTCTTTCCTTAGATACAACACGCCAAGACCATAAACTGAGAACAGACTTCGTAACAGTTATAATTTCTGTGTACATGTAGTATACCTTTTGAAATAATTTTGAAAATGAGACAGAGAAATTTCTTCATGTGTTTGTATTTGAACCAAGAAAAAATTTTGAGGTATTCAAGAATTTGAGATACTGTAGCTCGAGATCATTAAATTTCGCGATACCTTACATTTGCGAGATAGTCAATGTCTCTTTATTAGTGAGACAAAATTTTCACGAATTATGGTTATTGCACTATATAATCATAAGGATTAGTATTATACACGAGAATGAAATTTTCGCGAGCACACTGTCTTGCGTAATTACGCGAAAATAAAGTTCTTGCAAATAAAAGGTGATTAACAGTATATAGGCTAAGATACATGAAGAAGTGATTGGGACTTCTGTCTCACTTTGAAATATCAATGGTATTTAAGATAGGGAAGTTCAACGTCTGTATTCAATTTTAATTTTGGTCTCGTACATAGTATATGGCCTTTAATTGAGCCAGATTAGAGCCTTCAAACAATATGATTACTTTAATCATACATATTAAAATGTCATTCCAAACATGTGAATATCATTTGTAACATGGTATCTATAGTTACAAGCTAACTACTTTTATCTATAAAATATAAGGTCAACATGTAATCAAATGAAATGAATGTATAGAAAAATGAAAAAAATAAATAATTATTTTCATATTAGCATGTGGTATAACATACGAGACTACTTTGTTGTACATGTAATAGAATTCCTTGATATAAGCATGACATGTCCTCATACATATATGTACCATGATAATTGATTTATGATGTTGCAAAAACAGTAGAAATTCTATAGAAATAAATCTTATTAAAGGCTATGTAGTGTCACACACATTTTATATTTTGAAACAAAATATTTTCCTTTAACTCAATTTAACAGAAACTTACATTTTACAGAATATAGTATGAAGGTTTCTCTTTATCAAAACTTGCTTAATTCAGTAATTATATGGCATATACTAGTATTAACTGTTATGGGTGAAATCTATATCTGTTTTAATTTAAATTGCTATAGCAAATTCTGTTTAATATATATAATAATGATATTACATGAGGAGGGCAAAGTGCCACTTTGGATCATGTCATAACCAGATACAAAAAGGTTATATCTTGTATGGTAATCAGATACCCATGGTTACAACTGGACTTTGTTTAATTGCTGTGAAGGACTTTAAAACATTTTGGTCATCAATAGATGTGGTTTTGAGTAAGTCAGGGCACAAATAAACTACAAGCCTGAAGTCTCATTTTTGCTGATGGTGCGTAAGATATGTATGTCTCTGGTGCTGTGACAGGAGTTATCTCCCTCCCCTTGTCAGCTTATAATGCATATCAATCGCAGACTTTTTACAACACTACAAATTAGATGCTATCATACTACTGACAGAATGAGATCCTTCTCAATCACAATCATGTGTGTGTCCCATCTTATTACGTCAAAGCCACCCACCTTCACTCACTCACACAGCAGATGTTGTATTATATTCCTCTGAAACAAGGATTGAAACATTAAAAATTTGTCCTAAAAAATTGTCACTCCAAACCTACTTTTGAGAATCTGTGGGTATCAGTTATTTTGGCAGTTATAGTTTATATACAATGTATGTATTAGCGAGAGTGGTAATAAGATTTGTATATATATTAGGTTTATCAGTATTTATTAAAGGTAATGCACTTGAGATTTAAAAGATCCAAAGTTACACATTTCCGTGAGATTTTGATTTTGTGTAGGAACCAAAAGTTATTTACTTTAGCATGTATTGAAGTTCACTGTCACTTTGACATCAAACTTAAAGGCTGTTTAATTTGAATTTCTAAACATGTCTGTCATTCAGTGAAGCATGTACAATTATTGACATAAAGCTGCATGAGGAATATATTAATACAAATTAAAGAGTTAACATACTGAAAACATTCCGGCCATTATTAATTCTTATGTAAAAGTGTTTTCAATGAGAAATGCATATGTTTATATTTTGAAAGATTATTATAAAAGATAAGATCTGGTGTGTATACTTGTTCATCTTTATGCTCCACTGTGAGCCCAAATTGGTTGAATAAATATTCTATTCTATACTCTTTACGTTGATGATTCCTCAGTGATTGCATAAAGTTTGAAATATTAATGCATATTTAATCAGGTATTTTTTTTAAATATATGTCCATATTAAACAATATCACAGGTAATTCCATGGATCTGTAGATATTAATAGAAATTTAAAGATTATATTTCTTATTGTAGAAACATTTAACCATAATAAGAGGATTTTATATTCCAGTCATTCAGATTATATATTTGAAAAGAATGTTTAAAAATAAACAAAGACCAAAGTTTTGGATCTTGACTTCTTAACCCAAGCACTAATGGCAAGTAATCAGGGCCAATGATTGCAATAATGTAAATAATTAAGTCATCACGGAACTGTCACAGTTGTAAATTGTTCTTTCGTGACCCCTGGCTATGGGTCGAACAGGAACTCTGACACCTTTTTACATAATGAAACGCACAGCCTACTTTTTGTCAAATTCCAGGTGTAACAAAAACAAAATTCTACCTGAATTGCCATCTGCCTGTGTTATCTCATGAGTCATATCTGGTAATTCCTAGTCTCCCTCTGGTGTCTGGTTATATATGAAAAAAAAAAAAAAAAACTGGGATGGTCTGATCAGCTAATTATAGCTAGCTTCTCGAACATTGTCATTGCCAGGCCTTGAGGGTTTGACACTTTTTATTATGGACTGGACATTCCCTTTTTAAAGTCTGTTTACTTGGACCAGGATTTGGGTTGAAGGCATAACATTGGAAGACTTTTCGTAGGAGATAAATACATGTACATGCAGGATCAGAACTGACCAGGAATTGGCCGGCTATTTAGGGGAGGAATGTTTACTTTGAGAATCACAAGGGAATTCTTTTATTTATAGGTTCTAGGTTGTGTTTATCAGCTATCATACAACATAAAGAGTCAGCTGGCTGTCAAAGGATATTAAATTATACAACAATTGCCATTCATACAGCTATAAATCAATAAGGATACAGGTCCCACAGTACCTAAGGTGTTCCACTGGATCTAGGGAATTTCACTTGTGTGTTTGGCTTACACCTTTAACATAACAGTATTATACTTGGAGTCATTTTTAAATGACAATCTCCTTGTAGTTATACATTGAGCTATAAACATTCTTGTATTGAGATTGTACCTCTTATAAAGCAGTTAACTTTCAAAATAAATACACAAGGATATTGGATTATCAGGATCAGAGTGAGAGAGCATTGGGACAGTGTTCTGTTTAAATCCCCAGGTAGACAACAGGTGTGTCAGGTATACCTCAGTATACAGCCATGGAGGAAATGATGCAGGCTTGTTCCATAGAATCCAAGGATGGACTTGTCGCCAGAATAGAGGCAGAGAAACAACCCACGGTAAAATGTCTAACCCATATCTGATTCTCTTCTTGGCTTCATTTCTGTCTTTCTCTCTGATAATCCTCCTTGGATAGGGTTGGTTTGTACCTTTAATATGATATAGAAAGCCAGAGACAGAGACAGTTGTACAGATTTGAGTACTAGATAAAAGTGGATCTGTCATCTAGTTACAGATTGCACCACCAAGGTGTCTGGATAAGGACCCACTTTTCTGCACCCTCCACCACTTGTTACTTGTGTTGATTAACGTTTTCTTCCCAGATTTTTTTAAAAATACATTTTCATGACTGGTGGAGTTGTTCCTGTACCCTGGGGCTCTTCTGTAAGCCCATTTAATTTATGATGATGAGTTTTGCAGTGTAGATGAATATCAATTTAATGTCTAAATGGGGGACAAACCCAAGGATTTAATTCCCTTCAAGAAATGAATTCTTTCACTTATTGTCCAAATGTGATAGTTTCAGTGTCAATCAATTTGCAATATTTTGTTTTCTTGGAAAGATTATTTTTATAGCTCTTGGCTGGGATTCATAAACATACTTAAGATTTGTGCTAAGTTTCACACTTAAGTATAAAATAAATTCTTAGCTAAGAAAAAATTCTTAAGTCATATTCATATAAATTCTAAGTGCAATTCTTAGCTAAGTTTAATTCTGAGAAAATTAGAGCACTTAAGTTAAGTCACCCTAGCAACGCATACAATTTCCTGAACAAAAAGCGCACTCTTTTGTGATGGAGGTATTTAGTACCATGAGTATTACATGACAACTGGTACAGCTTTGTCATCAACAGTGCGCAATACTGCATCTTACCAGCTGATAAACATCTCAAAGTCGAAACAAGTTTCTAGCTGGATGTAATAGCATGGGCTGGGATTCATAAACATACTTAAGATTGGTGCTAAGTTTCACACTTAAGTATAAAATAAATTCTTAGCTAAGAAAAAATTCTTAAGTCATATTCATATAAATTCTAAGTGCAATTCCTAGCTAAGTTTAATTCTGAGAAAATTATAGCACTTAAGTTAGGTCACCCTAGCAACGCATACAATTTCCCGAACAAAAAGCGCACTCTTTTGTGATGGAGGTATTTAGTTTCATGTGTATTACATCACAACTGATACAACTTTGTCATCAACATTGCACAATACTGCGTCTTACCAGTTGATAAACATCTCAAAGTCAAAAGAAGTTTCTAGTTGGATGTAATAGCATGGTTTCTTACTGAAAGAGTAAAATGTCTTCTGTAAAGCATTATTTTTATTTTGATAAAGAAAACTTAAGTATTTCTTATCTACTTAAGACACCTCCTGAGGACACTTAACTTTAAGTCAATACTTAAGCTCTAAATATGTTTATGAATTACACTTAAGTATTTCTACCAAATTTAAGTAATACTTAGGGGACTTAAGTATAAAATATAAAACTTAAGTGATTTTTTAAACTTAAGATTATACTAAGAAGTTTTATGAATCCCAGCCATGGTTTCTTACTGAAAGATTAAAATGTCTTCTGTAAAACATTATTTTTATTTTGATAAAGAAAACTTAAGTATTTCTTATCTACTTAAGACACCACCTGAGGACACTTCACTTTAAGTCAATACTTAAGCACTAAATATGTTTATGAATTACACTTAAGTATTTCTACCAAATTTAAGTAATACTTAGGGGACTTAAGTATAAAATATAACTTAAGTGAATTTTTAAACTTAAGAATATACTAAGAAGTTTTATGAATCCCAGCCCAGCTGGCTTTTTTTCTTTGAAAATGCCTTAAAGTAATATTCAGGGTATTGTCTGCATGAAAAATCTTGTATCTCTACATAGCCCAGGCTTTTGATGCAAGAGGCATCAACTCAGGTGTAATGGGGTGATGTGTGCAGTATGTCTGTATTCTTTTAAGTCTTTCTATGTAGGAACTTAATCTTATTTACATTCCATTAAATAATTTTTCTTAGTGTTACATGATTATTACAGACAAAGCATCCTATCTGTTACAGATGTGGTGTAGATTTTTTTTAACCTTATTTCCAATAATAATAAGTGCTCTTTATCATGACAAAAGACCATGATTTTTGCAGTGTTATGCAAGAAACTTGCATTCTTTATGCTGCACATTGATGGAGAAATGTAGATAAATTCTGCATTTATTGAAGAGGGGCTGGTTCTCTGCCACTCAGTTCTACACAATTTACATTCAGTTTGTGCAATTATAATTCTCTGAAATATATTTTTGACTAATCCTTCCAACCCTTACCAACACCATTCAGAGTAAGGTCAAGGTCACATGGTTTAGAAAAATTCAGTTTTTGCTTGGTCATAAATTAGAAGTTGAGAAAACTTGAGAAGATTATACTAAGCAAAAAGTTGTTTCACCAGAGGGTATGTAACAAGCCTGCACATAAGTGCAAAACTTGTGTACATAATATATTTTCATAATGAAATAACTTTCCAAGATCACTGTCATGGTTAATTATGATCACAGAATATTTATAATGACCTTGAACAGAGGTAATTTACTCAAAGTCAAGGTCACAAACTACAGAATGTCAAATTTTGAAATCTCAGAAATGTAAAATTCTAAGAGAAAACTTGTATTGGAGGAGCATTAGGATACATGTATGTCATACTTTGCACAAAAGTTGCTTGTGTCCAGGAAGTTGTCATGTTTCTATGTCTTATTTGTTTGTACAAGGTCATATAACTCAGAAGAATTTTAAAATTTTATTTAGGCCATGATGCTGTTGAAGTACTATTTTCTACGTGGTATTAATTTACGCTATGTACTCGGTCATAAATTTTCCAAGTAAAGAACAAGGTACACTTAGGGTCATATAAGGCCTATTTTCAGAGGTTGGAAATTTTTTACCCTAATACTCTCTAGGACATGGGCTCTCTGTATATAGTAATATTATCCGTGTAACATTGATAGTTTTTGAGATACAACGTAAGAAAGTTGACATGCATAATTATGAAGCTGTCATCCTAAATACCAAGGAAAGCTTTCTTCTCCAATATTCAATCGAATAAAGTAATGCAAAACCTTTTCTTGAAATTGATACCCGAGTAGACAATAAACAAATTTGCAATTTTTGAAACAATAAACACATGTAATCATTTGGACTACCCGAGGTGTTAAATATTTACCGAGCCCAAAGTGGGAGGTAAATATTGTATTTATTTCAAAAGTTGTCAAATCATCATTTTGAATTTGTAGAAAAACTGTCAATGATTTTTTTATTATATCACTCAATGATTTAATGATATTTGTTTGAAAACCTTGCAACTTTCTTTATTGGCTGTTTATGTCTGCTGAAGTCCTCACCAAACCCAGTTAGAGATGCAGGGGCCCATTTTACAAAAGAACTTAAGACTTATCAAGATCAAAAACTTTGGATGATTGTAAAATCTTGCACAATTAATGCTTTTATATATAAATTAAAAATTACCTGCACTCAATTAGGTAAAAAAGAAAGTTATTTGCAAAATTACATTTGGTCTTGGTCATAAGTTCTTTTGTACAATGGGTCCCAGGATCTTATAAGACAGCAAAAATAACATAACCAATTGTTCCAATTTGGAAGTTTTCAATATATTTTTGGTTCGATGTAAAAATTAAATGTTATATTCACCAGGAGGGTCTAGTGCAGGTGAATTTAACCAAGTTTTCAGAATGCTGAACTTCAGCCAGTCATTTAGCTAGGGATCATTCTATCATGAATAAATCTGATTGTTAAATAAAATATGTCCTAATCATGAACAAAATAGACAAGCATATAAACAGTGGGGTAAAGGGAAATAAAGGAATCCCTAATATATTTTATTTCTTCTGTACCAGACAATGAGACACAATCATAAAAAATTCATAAAGTGTTTGAAAACATCTGTTGTATCATTCATTGACATGCACATGCATTAGGTTTCTCTATAGCTAGAACTCAAGAATATTTCATTCCAAAATATTGGGACTCTGGAAAAGTCTCTAGTGATTCATTTTTTTTTTTTTTTTTTTTTTACACATTTTTGGTCTCCATGGGTCAATATGCATACAGTAATTCATTTAATATTGTAACTCTATCATAAAATGATTAGCTTATTATCTTAAATTGCAATTTGAAAAATTGTAGAAATAAATCAATAATTCATTATCAATATACTTGCATTCAGAGGAGTGTACTCAAGAGTATCACACATATTCCAGTATTTTATAATCACTGAATTTTTACCAGACACATGTAGTGTGATAACACTACCCAATCCATGGTGAACATTACAACTGAATATTCATCTTCACAGGTGTTGATATTCATAAGCCTAAACAAAATATCTTGTATAACTAAATTTAACGAAAATTCACCTATAAAACAGGTATATGTACATGTAATTATCATCTGGAGTTACTGTGTTACTGTACATTATTCAAATTAAACACTGGTTAAATAAAACTTTTCAATAACAGAATAATACATTTTTAGATAAAAAATCATAAACAGAACAGAGAGGCTGATCCTTCATATCGTAATACTAGAAATTGCATATGGAGAGTATGATACTAACAATAATTCTTAAAAGTTTTGATTTATTATGCAATGTTGAATGATGAGTCTGAGATTCACTTTCACTCCTCTTCTGTTATGAAACATCTTTCTTCATCCTCACTCTCTGATTCATCAATTGGGAGTGCAGCAGCATCCTCAACCAAACTACACCAATCACGCACACCACAGACATCACTCCCCTCATGACGAGCAAGAGCCAAGAACCAAATCACACTGGTAATGTGAGCACACATGCCCACAACTCTTGCGCCAACTTTACATTTGCAAAACCAGGATTTGATACTGACGTCATCATATCTAATCCAAAGTAAGTATTTCTTAGCTGAAATGTGTCTACTTTGAATCTTTGCACAGAGGATACCAGCACAATCATTACTGATGAAAATTTCATACTTTCCTTCCATCAAATGCTCGTGTGTGTATGACTTTGCCAATCTGATTTGGTAAACACCAAAGGTCAACTGGCGTATTTCCTCCTCTGTCAAACGAGGAAAGACCACATCATGGGAGTTGATCCTCTTCCATTTCATGTTCCGCTTCTCTAAACCTGTAAATTTTATTTTTAAATGGATGTTCAATTTATTCTTCAAAGATTTTTTATATTCATATTTGAAAATCTTGCCACATCAATTGTAAGGCAAATCATATTTAAAATGTAAGATGATGCTTACCTCTCGTCTCAACATAATCCTTTAACTCATTCACGCCATTTGCAAGAAATCGCATTTTAGCAGCCATCGCAACATCTTCCTCCTCCATTCCAGTGCTCAAGTCTGGTCTAAACTTGTTGCAGATTGCACTCACTATGCGGACATAATCTCCAATGTGAGGTATTTGAGTATTTGGGATAGTTCTGCTCAAGTAATTCCCTGTCTTTAGCCTGCCATTTACTGACTCAACAACCCACCTGAGCTGTAACACAAATACATACTATGAATTCATCAACCAAATATATATATATAAAAGTCTGTTACATCCTTATTTTCTAATTCATTATTACAATGTATACTTAAATATATAGATAACATTTTAAGTTTAGAATTGCAAAAAATGTGACCTTCAACAGATTAAATGAATAATTATATTGCTGGTATTTTATTTTCAAGTACCTTGGTCACAAATCTGGTTGCATTGGCTTCTTCTGTGGTGTGTTGCTTTGAATGAGAAGTAAGGAAAGATGGCATTTCAACATGTATCCCCATGTCATCTAGCAAAGCTTCTGCATCCCGGAAACCCCTGTCGACGATAAATATATCATCTTCTCTGACCCATTTCCTCATGTCCTCTACATTTGTTTGGATCATGTGATTTAATATCTTTGCATCAGAATTTTTGGAATCTGCCAGATAAGGACCTAATACAGAAATTATATATCCACTAGTTGAAACAATGATCATAGGCTTGACTAAAGGCCGGTGTTTATGAATGCTGTAGGAACGACCTGAGAAAGAAAAGTTCCCACTTTTTTGGAGATATACGTATGTTCCATCAAGAACAAGAATGGCTGGATTTTCTGTCATGCTGCAAAGGAGTTCCTTGGCAAGGGGACGAGTATGGTGATTAATGACATCCTCCCTTGTTATATGAGAAAACCCCAAATGCTTTGACACAAAATCACCCATCAAAGCATTTTTTGCAGATATAACAGCACGTCGAACCTGAAAACAGAAAACCCAGTTTCAATTAATGTACATGCAATATATGCATTTTTAATTTTACATGTAATAATGTAAAAAAAAAAAATTTAAATGTAGTGTTTCACTCAGCATAACATGTACATACCTGCCATTTTTTCATGCCAAATAAGGTTCCAAGTAGTTGATTACTCAAACCACATCTGAGTTTTGTCAACAATAACGCCACACATGTTCTGGTACTTCTATTCTTGGATGCTCTTAAGTCGGTCTCCACTAAATACGTCATCAATTCATCAAACTGATCCTTTGTAATTCCTGTGAGATTGTAGTAATCTTCACTTTCCATTCCATGTGAATCATCAAAATTCAGTCTCTTGTTCTGATTCTGGATAGCTACCTCCCCGGTTTGTCTTAAAACTCCTACAATGGTGGTCCTGTTAACATTTGAGACAGAACTGGTTTGTTTCAGCAGATGTAATGCCTCAGTGTTGAACTCTCCATCAGAAATATGCTTAGGACAGCATCTAGAACCAGGTGGAACAAATGTTTCTTTTTGGATGAATACATTTAAACGAGTATTTTCTGGAACTACCACTAGCTTTGGCCCCGGTTTTTTACAGATGACACAGTTGGCGTGGCTCTTAGAGGTACTTGGAATGGACAGTATTACTGAAGGTGGACTCTGCACACTCTGCTTTGATGATGTTTTTGGCATTTTGTTTGGCTCAGGGCTGTCACAAATAGTATTCCTTGTTGATTTTGTTTCACACATGTGACGACACTTCCTGCACAGCATGCTGTCATCAGAAACATCCATACAAAGTCTTCTCTTAATGAAGTCTGCATGCTCCTTCTTTATCCTGTATCTGTCCTGTTGTGATGTTCGTTTACAGCACAGCAAGCAGGGGTAAAACTTAGGCATTCTAGAAGAGAAGTATATATACATAAAAAATGGTCATTAATTACAAGCAGTTACATTATTGTACAAGTATGATAATGTCACATGACATTTGAACTTTACATGTGTTAATGAAATTTATGTAGAAAATTTTCAGTGAAATTCAATTATAATATTTGATATGACAATAAATGGTTAATTATGAGGAAATAAGGATTCAATCTAAACATCCAAATGAAACCTTGCAAGGACTGCATATAATAGACAATAAGATGTTATCAAAAATTTTTTGTCATACCTGTGTTTCCTATTGCATCATCATCACCATGGAAATAAACTCCAACCTCCGAACACTTCAGGGTAACACAGGATCATGATTTCTGTAATAAAAATGTACAATTTCCTTTAAGGCTACAAAATATTTGTTAACATTTATCAGTATTTACATTTTTAGTTAAAATGTAAAATACTTGAATGAAATTAGTCTAGTCATTTTAATATAAAAAAGGCTAAAATGTTGAGCCTGATAAATATTTGAAAAGTTAACAGAGGGCTAAACAGACATACAGACAAACACAGAAAGCTAAACGATCAGAGAAGCTCACTTAATTCTTTAGATCAGGTAAAATAAAATACTTTATCTCAAATTACCTAGTACAATAGCAATTTAACATTCTAAAATATAATTATATATAAGGTACAATTATATTTTCTATCGAGAGAGAGAGGAAGAGCAAACACCTTGGGAGAATGCAGACATGTTGGTTTTACTGGTACTTGTGGTGTACTATGGGGGGGGGGTCAAGGGTCCGGACCCCCCCTGGAATTTGCAGAGTTATTAAAAATATATACTGTTCAAGCAAATAAAAAATGACTTTGGACCCCCCTAGAAAACGTGGACCCCATCACCACCACGAAAGAGGCGTTTTTCACGTTTGGGAAGTGGATTTTACGTTTTTTTTGTTTTTGTTTGTTTGTTTGTTTTTTTTTTTGCTTGTCAAGAAATTTTGGGTTTGGAATTTTTTTTTGACTGGGGTGGACCCCCCCCCCCCCCGATCCACACCTGTTAATAACATTACTATTGCTTCAGTTCAGGGGCTTGTATTCATCTGATTAAACAAGATTAAACAAACAGGTACAGAGAAAGCTGACAAGGACTAAAACTGAACATGAAATGGTTGATATACACAAATGCTCGAGTGTGGCAGGTTGGCTTTTAACAAAATAAATGACTACATATACATGTAACTGTCAAAATGCAAAGCTCTGGTCAGAAGTTGATAGTCTTACTCTGGTTACTGCATATGTGGTTGGGCAGTTCCCCTTATACCTAGCAGAAACATGCCACATATGCCTTAAATATGCTTGTACCTACCTTGCTGTGATAGTTTTGCAGGAATTAATATCCATGAGAATTTTTCAAATAAATTTTAACACAAATAAAAAAAAATACATCACTAGACAAATATTTCTACAATATTGCCAAATACAGAAACTCTCCTTGGTTCAGAATTTATTGCGTGAAGGAGACATACTGACAGTTCTTCATACAGTAGCAAATACGACCCCCCCCCCCCCCCCCCAACTCCCAATCAATCTTCGGTCTCGTGGCATAAAAATCTTACAGGCTTGAATCAAGTTGGACAATTATTTTTATAAAGTTCAATTCAGTTATTTAATTTCTGAGAAATTCTCTTGTGTAATTTGACGGTATATTTTCAAATAATTACATCGACGTTTACAAATCGACTACTATACTGCTCGACTTTTCTCATACATGTATATGTATGCACCTAGTGTGTCACACGTTTAGCTTTTGACTGCCAGAGTTAAGTGATAAATTTTTGCAATGATAATTAATATATATATAAATATATATTTTTTTTTTAATGAAACCCCCCGCACATGTCAAAACATAAAAGCAGGGGTTTGAGTCAGAGGAATCTCGGATTAGCATGCATGTTTTGTAGATATATTTGTTTTCAAGTAATTGTCAATCAATCCTTACCTAATACAATCACATAGTAATAGTCGTTTTGGGTCTATCGGCAACTTTACACACACCTAGTCACCCAAACACATCACAGACACAGTTCATGTTCACAATCTGTCAAATTTCATCAGTTGTCAAACTTGTCGTCTGGTACGCTACGAACTTTTTTTTCCAGAAACCGCCGAACGAAATTAAAAATTCCGAATTATAATGATTATGATTTGCATTCATTTAATTAAATATATTTTAAAAATTTGAATTATTGTTACATTTGTACTTTGGGATAGAAGGCAACATTGCAGATAAAATTGTTACACATTTTAGCGATTTTCCATTAAATATGTAGGCCATGGGACTTGTTCCGGAAATGCCAAATGTTTGAATTAAACTATGAGCACACAGAACGCGATTGACGAAATAGATTTTTTTCGGCTAGTCATAGCAATAGCTTTGACATATACAAGTATTATCCATCGCGTTGCCTGTGCACATATTAAAATATTTACAAATGTGTGCACAAATTCATAGATTTTCATCAAAAAGTGAAATCCGGGTAAATTTTGGAATTTATAATTCTGATATGTGACGTTTTGGCGCCATTTCCCATGCATGTTTCAAGTACGGGGGTTGTCCCAAAATAACTTCGAAGGGAAATGACAGATTAGCTGATTCTTTATTTTTTTTAGTTTTCCTAGGCCAAAATTATATACTAAGTGTATTTTGTTCTTTGTCCAAGAATACTTAACGTACATGTAAGGCATATAGTGGCAATCTAAGAAATCGGAGTAATTATCTATCTGTGGATTGAACTGAAATTGAGATTCCATGGAATTATGACCCTGTAGAAAAAAGTTTGTTTGCAGTATTTTAATGCTAAGTCTTTGAATGGTCATATTTTTTTGTACCCTGAATGGAAAGGTGATTCATCCCTCAACAAGTAAATTACTTTTACACAAGATTCAGGCCATGGAATTTGCAGAATAATTTTTTAGCAAGATGGCAGATTCATTTTAAAACTTTTTAGTTTACTGGAGCTGAAGGTTCAATTGAGCTTTTCTGATCACCTTTTGTCCAGGGTCAGTCTGTCCATCTGACTTGCCACAAAGCATCCTTGGGTGAATGAGATTTAAGTTTGTTCAGTGAAGGGCCACACTCTCTTTTAAAGGGAGATAATTAAGAATTATTGAAAAATATAGTGGCATGTTTCAAAAATCTTCTTCTCAAGAACCACTGAGCTAGAAAAGTTGAAACTTATTTGAAAGCTTCAAGTGTAGATCAGTTTTACATAAGAATATATAGAAAAAAATCTGCTGAAGAACAGCAGGGCCATAGTAACTCAGGTGAGCATTGTGGCCCACGTGTGTCTTATTTAACCATAAGCTGCATTTTCTTTTTTGCCCATCAGGAGGTAGAAGTCATTAGGATAGTTCTTGTTAAATTGGTATCAACTTATGTTTTTTTTTCTTAATTCAGTGTCACAAAGTTACTCATTGAATTTCTTGGTCAATAGCTTTGCAAGTGATGCTTCTATAATGTAATTATGTTTGTCTGTGATAAAGAGGCAGCTAGGTTAGGTGTTTTACAATGAGAGATTTGGCAGAAACTGTTGAAATAATTCACTGCAATCCTTGTTTTATAGACTAAAAAATCACATAGGTTATCATGGGTGCACAGAGGACTTCACCTTGAAATAATATACAAGTAACGAACATTGACATTTTGGGACCATGGTGTCATAAAAGTTGACACATATTTGAGATTTTCTTTTATCTATCTGACCACTTGCCGAAAAGGACTTGAAGTGTTATATACTTATTTCAAAGAGAGTTCTCAGGCATTCCATATTTCACAGAGCAAGACCACTTCATTTCTACTTAAATTCTCATAAATATTTCAGTTTATTACTTGAAGGACCAAATTTAACAAACTGGGTCAAGGTGTTACCAATTTTTGGTCTTTTTTTTTATCTGAAAGAGGTGAATGACTTATTATCATTTTGATTTTAAGGCTGCAAAGTTTTGATGTTATTTTTTTTTTCTTCCTGCATGTGATCACAAGTTTCCTCTAATTGGAGAAGAGTTGCATCCCTTCCAGGATAGCAATGCTCTCAGATCTATATGAATCATCTATATATAAAGTACTTTTAAGAGATATGTAGATGCAGAATCAGGCTTCAACTTAACTACTGTTGTTTTTTTCTTTACACACCAAAGAATGTGATGACGAAAAACCATAGATCTAATGGTAGTATAGATGGTGATTTGATCATTAATGTGTTTACTAACCCTTTGGCAAACTGTCAGCTGCTGTATCAAGAGAAAAACAATTGATATAGGAAATACGGAAGATTCAATACATTGATAAAATTCTGTACTGTGTAGGGTGGGTGAGTGGGGAAGGTCTGGTATATATATAAGTAATCAACAGAGATCTTTTTCTGCACACAATACTACTGAAGTTATTAATGTTGCCAAACGATGTTGTAGACTGTGTAAGATAGAATGAAGATTTGGTAATCGTTAAAAGAGTGGTGTCACAAAGGGAAATGTGGTCCTCCCACTCTACATGTAATACTTCTGATGTTAATTAACATTTTAATTACTTGATATGCTACACTTTTTGGAAACACAATATCATGTGAACACCCATTACTGCAGCTGCACAGCAGGTAGTATGTTTTCTATGAATTAACATTTAGAATGACACTCAAAAACACCTGTTAGTTTGCTTGAATAAGGTGTATCATTTTGTTATTTTGCAGATAAAATTTTTCTCATTAAAAGCTGAAATGTTATGCAAAGTCTGTCCAACAATTATTAAAAATGCATGAATTCCATATTATACTCAAGTGTCATGTATCCTGGGTAACTGCCACCATGATGCAATGAATATTACATTTCTGTCAACAAAATAAAAAAGCAAACATCTGTTACTTAATCTGTTTAATACTATAATGACTCATTTTGTTGCACTTAACATTATACAGATATTTTACACAAGAAGAAAATAAACTGTGCAAAATCTGTGCAACATGAAATCAATAGCTGATTTTTTTCTGCCTAGCAGTAAGTTTAAATTACAGCCCCTCCCCCCCCCCCTTTTCTCATATTAAGGTGCTGTGCCAAGGACTCTTAAGGAATTATAAATTATTTGCTGCTTCAAATGTCTTTGAGAGCTTCATTTTAACGTTCAAAAATGTTTGAATTTGTAAGCCTTTTTACTTTTGTTGGTATTGTTTCCGGCTCTGAGGATACCCAAATTTTATGTTAAAATTTGTCTCATCACTTCAACAGACAATTTTTATACAATAGTGCAAATTATTACTTTTCCATAAGGTGATACAATGTATAAACTTGTAAATACATTTGGTAAAAATGTAATTGTTTACAAGTAATTCTTGAATATGAATTTGTGATTGCTTACGTCAGTGCAGTCTGTAGAATTAATTGGATTAACGGCAGGCAGAGGCAATATGGAAACTGACATGTTATATTGAACACAGACAGAGTATAAATACTTTAAGCAGTTATCAATTATCTTGTAATGTAACCATTTCTTCTCTGCTATCCAAATATTGATAAACACAGATTAATAAATTGGTAGAATCTACGCAAGTAGCCATCTCATAGTAAAGATGGTTCTGTGGAAAATCATAGAGCTTGCAGGAATTCTTCCTAATACTTTGCACTCCTGCATTTTGCACACGGCACTATTTGAAGTGCTCACTTTTCCCGGACTAATTTAGAAGTAAACCCCCTCAGCTCGTCTAAGCTTTGATTAAGAGATCTCGTCTCAGTGTTTTCACTTTTCACTTTCGTTTCACTGAGGTCTGATTGCTAATTAAAAGCAAAAGATTTCCCTGTAGGTAAGAGAAATTTACACATGTATTTAATTTCTTATTTCTTGAATAATTTAGATTCTCAATTGAAGTATAAAATTTTGATTTAAAAAAAAAGTTTTAATTTTGAAGGATTGATTTTTTTTTATTGTTTTGAATAATCATTCTTTATTGCTTATACAAGTGCATTAAAAAAATTTATGTCTGTATAAGCATATTTTTCTTTTGACTATCTTTGAGAAATTAAAAGGTAATTAATTAACAGAAATAAAATCCAGTAGAAAATAAACCCTTTAATTCATTTGTTAACACAGAATTTAACAGTTCTTTCTCTGATCTTGCGATTTTTTTTTTTAAACTTTGACAGCAAAGCATGCACGTATCTTAATTGTAAAACATGTTCTACAATGGACAAAAATCAGACACTGAGCCATTACTGTACACTGAGTGTTCCTTCTTATAATTAGGCATCTTAAACAGCTGAGCTTTGTTGTGAGGGTGCTGTACGAGAGAGGGGAAATTCTTACTGCATAAGACTCAGTAGGAAGTCCTCGCTATCTTAAGATGTTTATAACATCTTCATATGGAGACCATGAATGACTCTGCAGCAACTGGCTTGTCTTAGACAGGTCATAACAGTGTTAAAAATATTGTAATTAGAAGGAGAATGCATAATCTCTGCTGAATATGTAAGTTGCTTTGCATTCTTAATTGGAATTGAGGGAGTTTAAATTAAATGATGTATGTGCATGTACATTCTATTAAAACATTTTAACATCAATTTAGTATAGAATGGATGTTTGAAATTCATAACCAGAAAAAGAGTCATTTATGTAATACATGTAGTCAATTTTGGCAAAAATTTGATCTAACATTCACATTTTGGGAAATAAATGGAAAAATCCTTTGATTGTGCAAGAGTTTTCAAATTGTATGGACAGCGGCTGCAGTTTATCAGAAAAAAAAACCCAATCCAAACTGATAAATGACCTTTGTATATAAATCATTATTTAACTAGGTTCCATCGTTACGTAAGCTTGACATATCTGTCTGCATTCAATGTGCAGCAATAGTTGATGCAGATTAGAGCTGCTCTGACTAACAAGTTATGTGCTGTCTATACCCAGAAGCTATTTAGCAGGATCAGCTAAAGTTTAGGAGAGCTATAGTGCAAGGAAAAATCTCATTAGTTACGAAATCACAATACATCAGCTTCTGTAAAGGTAGGACTTGAGAAAATAACGGATTTTCTGTGGCAGACACTGCAAAAAAAAAAAATTCATGATTTACATGTCTCAAGTCACTCATTTGATGGACATTATTTTGAGAGGGAATGGCTTAGGTCTTGCTGGTACAAAGCACGTTTTTTGTTGATTTTATGAGGAAGTTGTGTCACGGATATTGTGACTTTTTGTTTTATTACTGTTAATTGTAAGAGGAAAACAGATCGAAGCAGGCAGTGAATTTTAGTATATGTTTGTGAATTTGTGTTTTTGATTGTAATTCTGTGTTATAATGATGTTTAAGTTGGTCTCTCAAGTACTCCATTGATTTTTTATTCATTGACCAAAAAAAAAAAATTGTTGAACAGATTTACATTTGAGATTAGGATGTGAGACATATAATGTGTATTTGTTTTGAAATCATTGCCAGTAAGTACTATATAAACCGTTAGCAGGATTTGGAAATCTTTAAGGGAGATCTGTGAGAAAATTTTGAGCTGTTCCTTTTCCAACTACGTGCATATTTCACATTTCGTTTTGAATTCTTCTCTGAGAGCACTGTACTGATGGTTCATTCTTTTATACTCATCATTGAAAGTTTATTGCACAATCACATTAAATTCTACCGTTTATTTTTGCAGTTGATATTTTCTGGAGAATACACTAAAGCTATGGATGAGAATTACCACAAAGATCACTTGGCCTGCCATAACTGCGACAAGAAACTGGTGGCCTGTCGCTACATCGTCAAGGATGAGAACCCGCACTGCATCCCCTGCTACCAGGAACTGTACGCACACAACTGTGAGGAATGTAAAAAACCAATAGGACCCGACTACAAGGTTTGTACAACTACAAGGTTTGTACACAATGATTGCTGCAAGTGAGCTTATAACAGGCCCGTAGGAAGCAATTTCACTTTGAGGGGGCACAACTATACATTTTCAGTTGGGGGGCACTATCAATCAAGTACCAAAATTCCTTGACAAGCAAAAAAAAAAAAAAAAAAAAAAGGTCATCAGACATTATTATTGAGGGGGCACAAGCGTATAGTAGCTATGCAGGAAATACTTAATTAGCAAGAGATAGAAAATTGACAGTACTTAACATTTTTCTCACAAATTTTGAAGCAAAAGCAGTTTATGATAGTGATTGGAACTGACTGTAGTCTTGGAGAATATTATTGTAAAATACTGATATTTTGATTGTCTGGAATATACTGGAAATTGCTCATGCATTTTGTTGTAAAGTTAGATATATAAAATAATATGGCAGATGTTGATTGGAACTTTCTTGGAAGCTTATAAAGCTTTATCTAATTGCACACAGGAGATAAATTTTGTAAATCTCTTGCTCATATTCAAATGAGAGAAAAAAAAATCAAAAGACATTTTCTGAGTTAAGGCAAGTTTTAGACAAAATGCAGATGTAATGCTTCTCTGTGTTTTGTCCTATTAGATGCTGGAACAGACTCTTAGAGGTTTAATGCATGTGTTTCATAGGAAAAGGAACTGCCAGTTTTAATAAAATAAAACAGAGAAATTCTTATAATGGTTTGAGTGTTTAGCTGTTAAACAATGTCAGAGAGAACGGCTAGCTGGCAAATTGTTCCATGTTGCGGGTTGGCATGCAGCGTCTTTTCTGTCTGTATATATTATAAACATGGGGACAATATTCTTATTAATATATCTTGATACATCAGGTTCTGTAATCAGTGGTGGATTTAAAGGGGGAGGGGGGATTTCCCCAGTACACACACCCCTTAAATTGTCAAATTCAAGATAAATCATGGTACCATCTTTGAAAAAAAAAATGAATTTTTTGATAAAGGGATATATTTCTATGTTCTTGCAAGGCAGAGCTTCTGGGGGCTTCATTCCTAGGCTTAATGTTTCCATAGACCTTTATTTGTAGTTTTATTAATTCTAATGGTTAATCAAGACGACAAGAAATAGTAAAAGTGTCTACATAGAAGACTTCATTTTTGTCCTGCTAAATCTCTAGAATCCAGGGCTTTTCCTTCTGGGCCCCCAAAAGGGCTTTGCCTTGGACCAACAGGGGGCCTCAAGGCAACCCCCCCCCCCCATATCCCTGCCTAATTAGCTGGCACTCCCTTATTTCAAATCCTGGATCTGTCTCTAGTAATATGCATTTCAATACTCTCATTCAAATACAGATTAATTATATTAATATAATAAAGTCATATACTCAAGAATGTATAAGACCTTGAAAGTACTTCCATCTTTTGTTGTACATTGTGTTACCAGTAGATGATTGATCTAATGAAAGAAATCAGGGATTGTGATATTTACTTATTTTAATGAAATATATTTGAAACTGACTTGAAACTGTCTAGAAAGCTGAAATAATTGTAATAAAAAGTTGTAAAAGGTTATAAATCAAATTGCAACCAGTCTGTTTCAGGATATATATTGTATCTCAGAATACCACTCATCCCCCTGGACCTAGTTTACCAGCCCTCCCCCCGAGTCCCCTCTTCTGAGGGAATGAACAGTAAGTTGGGTCGTGCCCTTGGGTTTATTTTTGTGACATTTTTCTGAACTCCTTATATCATCCACTCAGACACTAAATGAGGAAACAAAGTTTTTTTTATTAAAGAGGCACATTGTTCTATTTTGCTGCAATGACATCAGTAACCCAAATCTCATAGTGCCAAAATATACCACTGAGTTTTTTTTTTTTTGGGGGGGGGGGGGCTAAAAAAAGTCGGATCGAAGCATGTCTAATGATAAAGTAACAATAACTTACAACTGTAGTGTTCAAAACAATGTGATATCAAGTAGATGTTACATCTGGTATTGATTTTGAGCATTGCATCACAAAATAATGGAATTCCTAGGAGAGGTATATTAGGAAATGAATTCTTATTGCAGCATAGTATTCTTATGTTATAACTAATTACAGCTCAGTATTTGCTATGTCACAGAGCAGTATTAACATTTTACAAGGAAGAGAAAAGAAATGATTATGGCTGCTAAAGGTTAATTAATTTTTTTTTTTAATTTAATAGCATTTCCTTTTCAATTTTTTTGAAGGATCTGGCCTGTGATTCAGTAAGATTACCTAGCAATATCTAACATGCACAGATGTGTGTTATTATTGAAATATGTAAATTATAATTAAAACACACACACACAGATTTTAAATGTGATATTCAGAAGTTTTTTTTTGTTTTCTGTACACTGTAATATTAAGTTTTAATACCTGACATTTCTATCATATTTCCATCTTTCATTGATATTGATCAATTCACAACCATTACAAAAAAAAAAAGCTTCCTTGGATATCAGAATCAGTTGTTTTTGTTACAGATTCAGTATAAAAGCCATGGAATCAAACACTCTCTAGACATAGAGATTGCTATAGACACAGTTTAATTGGCTACATAATATCTGTTTACACAGCAACTCCCAACGCAAAGTGTCTGCATTTCTACATAAGCATTTTGTCAAACTTTATCATTTGATGAGCTATGCTGAAGCATTATCTTCTGATCTTGAGGGGAGTCTTACTCAGACATTAGATAGGTATGCTGAGGTTTATGCTGCAGAGCTCTGAATTGTACAACCACTTGCTGAAGGCGGTGCTGATTGTGTTCCCAGAGGATGGCACAGTGGGGGGTGCCCATGCCATTTTGTTCATACAATGCATGCTGGGACAAGGGTGTTTGAGTGGAATTCTTGATCAGCCTAGATGTGTATCTCATCTTGTCATTACCTAAGGAGTGAAGGGGTTATCTATTTATTTTTCTTCTCTCTGATTTGTTTGGCTCCTTACTTAGATTGTTTGTACATTCTTTGTTTTAGCCATTTCTTGATAAGAGGGGAAAAAGTCAATTCATTATTTGATATGAAATGGATCTAGCCATTAGCTTGCACCAAGATTGAACTGGGTAAAGTGAGTGCTTGATTTTTGCTAGTGGGAATCTGACAATCAAAATCTTTTTATTTGCTCGAGTAATGAATACCTCATAAAATTATTGACACAAGTCTGGTTTATGATGAGACTTCTGATTCTGGAGTTCATCATTTTTCTCTTTTATCTATGGTTTATGATTCAAATCTGGGAAATTAAGGTTGATTTTTTTCCTGTGGTTCACCATAGGTTTACAGGGAAATACTATGGGGAAATATTTTGCATCATCAGGACATGACCTCACAAATTTTACTACTATGTACTTGAAATAAATAAGGATGGAAAACAAAGTTATGAAAAATATTAGTAATGAACAAATATTTATGCATTTTTATAACCATTTTTTCTGTTGTACTCTTAATAGTGAAATATTTATTTGATTTATTAATGACCATGCACCTTACACATGATTTTGTATCATTAATCTGGCATCTTTAGTTGACAGATCAATTGTTTATAGAAAGTGACTCAAAATCTTCATTGCACTTGCGAATACTGTAGATATTCATATTTACTAGTAGGTTATTGGACATATTGAAAATTCTTGCAAACAAATTGCTGTTGCAGTTTTTATATGCTAGGTTTTGGTAATGTTTTCTTTAAAACAATTAATGAATGATAGTGTTTAATTTGAATCTTATACTACGTGTTAAGTCTGTGGACTTCAGTTATTACATTTATAATGAATGCTGCTGCACATTAGTTGCATGGGCAAAGTTTTTAGGTCGCAATTCTAAATCATATTAGATGAAGCACATCATTCATTCAATTGGTACTACCAAATAAGCCAATACTATGTAATATATAGGGAGTCATCAGGGGTCTTTAACACAGCATGAGAGCGATTTGTGTGGAATGTACCATAAGCTCCTCTTTGTAAGCTCCATCTGTTTTACAATATATCACCCGTGCATTGCACTTGATTTACCGGCATACTTCACTCTGTTTTACATTGTTAAATCTCCATAAATGTACTGCAAGCATTGTGCGAATTTTCACTGTTGTAATTTTGCAAAAAGGTTAAAGATGGCTGGGGCTCAGAGTAATGGTGTGAGAAAGACAGTGTACAATGATGCTTTTAAAAATCTTATTAACTGGATATCTGAAAATGAGAGCAGATGTTAGAAAGATTAAAGAAAGAGTTAATGAACCTACATAATTTTGTTGATTATACATTCCATGAATTTGATGTTCGCCAAAGTTGAGTCTCTGACTTCACACAGTGAGTAAGAAGTCTGGAATGTTGAGGGGAGGTGGTGTAACTAGCTAACAGTTATAATCGGCTGATGTTAGAGAGCAAAGTCCTAGTTTGTGGTCAGTGAGCTGTTATGATCACACTTATATTACCTCGGTACAGTGTATGTACAATGACCTCATAGTGCACCTGCACTTCCAATATGTACACACAAATATCCTGCAGGTCGAGTCTGTGAATATCGTATGTTAGGTCTGAGTGAGTCACCTTGTGCAAGCTTGTTGAGAATTTTTACAAAGCCATAAAATTTCACTCCTTTTATTAAATTTTTACCAGCTGAAAAAAGTGAAGCTGCATTGTGAATTTGAGCATGTGTTTATTGATATTAAGGTCGATTTGACTGAGTGGGAAGATAATCAATTATTAATGACTGTCTGGCCCAGTAAGAAAACTTGTAGCAGGAAATAGATTGGTGTATTGTAATGGAACATAATGTATAGATAGGGTTGATGGCATCTTCTTAAAGTGTGCATTGAGTAAAAGGCCATTATCAGTTCTTGCATAATTTTATTATTAAACCAAAGCAGTTTGATGCACAGTAAAAGCTGAACACAGATGCTTATCTCTTTGTACTATTTTAGACACTATACTTAATAAGTATTCTCCAGCTTCTATACTTAATTCCTTGTCGGTAAGCGGAAGATTTGATTAAAATTATCTGGTTTCAAATGATTATTTCGACTTTGATATTTTGTCTTTTACAGGATCTCTCCTATAAGGACCGTCTATGATTATTTGACTTTGATATTTTGTCTTTTACAGGATCTCTCCTGTAAGGACCGTCTATGATTATTTGACTTTGATATTCTGTCTTTTACAGGATCTCTCCTATAAGGACCGTCATTGGCATGAATTCTGCTTTAAGTGCTGCGAGTGCCAGAAATCTCTCGTGGATCAACCATTCGCTCCCAAAAATGACAACATTTACTGCTCTGACTGTCACGACAAGAACTTTGCCGCTCGCTGTGATGGCTGCGGAGAACCATTTAAAGGAGGTATAAGCACTTTTTGACCATGATAAATTAAAAATATGATTCGACTACTTTAAACAAACAAACATTTTTAATTTTGAAAATGAAGAATTTTTTCTATTATCTGTATAAGAGAATGTATGTCATCCACTAAGTTTTGAATTGTTATTTCAATAATGACAGGTTTGGAAAAGGAAAGTGTTTCCTTGAAATACTAATAGCTATTATCAAGAACAATTGGGTCATATGTATATGTATATTACTTCTAGGCTTTGTCTCCGGACGATCCGGTACGATAAACAGAAAGCATGTCATTGTTTTGTTGAAGGTCAAAGGGAGATAACTTCATGTCGTTAGCTTGGCAGGTTGATTTAATTTTATCATTTTCTTTCAGTTGATGATGGTGACTTTTTTTTTAATTTTAGTTGCTGTTATATCTTATAATCACATTACATACATTTTATGAAATGAGCCATTACTATGAATTGCTGATGTTGCATGCTTGTTAACCTGCCAAAAAAGACTTTACCCTAAGGTATAGGGCAAAAATCTAAATGTGGTGTTAAAGATGATAAAAAGTACATGCAATATGTGGCAGTTTTCTTCTGCAATTTGTTAAACTTTCTGTTTCCGTGGCTTCAGGAGATGAAGAGAAAGGCATTGAAGGTATACAGAGATCTGGCTTGTATATATAATCTTGGCATGCTAGGCACTTTCTAATGCTAGCTCTGAGTTCAGGCTGGATCATCAGGCAGACTGGTTCTTCTACTCACTCAGAAAACTAGCCACACTCCAACACCGGGAGGGGGGGGGGTGATAGATCTGAGAAGGGAGGGGGACGTATCTCTGTTTCATAAGCAGGGGAAAATTTATCTTAAATGCGATAAGCAGCACACCATATTAAATACCTGACTTAAAGTTATGCTTTGACAAAAAGATAGTTTACAGAAACAAAGATATAATTGTGACAATTTCGAAACTTTCATTGCGTAGTTTTCTAAGTTTCAAAATTGACTTGTGCACCTAGAACTCTATACTTGGACCTTAGAAATAATTGATATATCCAATCTCTTTTTTTTCTTCAGTAAATTCTCTATCATTTTTCTTAACAATTGTAATGTAATTGTCTTTTTAGTTGCTAGTATTTATCTGAAAACTAATTGTAGGTTTTTAATAATACATATACTGTGTCTTGGTTAAATGTATACTCTTATCTTCTTAATGTAACTATATATAGAACCATTTTAGTTGCTAGAAATACTCGGCTTTGTAATATATATTGTAACATATAAAATTCTACAATAAATTTGTTGTCTTTACATCTGTAGGTTTTTATCAGAGATACTGCTCATTCTACACGTTTGTTTAGTTTTTTTTTCTTATGACAGCAGTTGCTTCCCTTTGGTTGCAGTAGAAACACAGGCATGTATTGGTTATAAAACCTAACAATTACACGAAGATTTAAGAACTGACAGCTTTTTTTTTTTTAAAGCAAAATTGTCACTCCTGATCAGATTCTCTGAGTACATACTAGATTTTGATAACACAATAGATAAGAAACAGACCTAGAAAATTATATTTTCAGTGTGGCATCCCTTTAACAAACATGTTTATAAAATCCCCATATTAATTGCTAATGATTTCCATTTTTTTCTAGAGATGCATTCTGAGTGTAACCCCTCAGACCCCTGGTATATGCTTTTACAACTCGCCTCTGTAGGTGAGCAATTGGATATGGCCGCCATTCAGTGTTGAGTTGTCTCCCTTCATGTTAGCCATGTGACTATCATGTGATTGGCTCTTTGAACAATGCCTTTTACATGTTTTACTGCATTCAGTGATTTATCTCTTCACTGGTCACCTAAACTTCATGTTTTATTCTTTAATTTCTTAATGATGTTGAAATTTGTTTGTTGGAACAAAACAATACATGATGAGGACATATAAATTACCTCCCTTCTCCCCTTCCTCAATAATGTAACTATGTATTCATGAAAACTTAAATTCTTATGAAAGCTTTTAAAAATCAGATAATTTTTTTTGTCTCAGAAATTTCGTAAAGAACTTGACAAAATATATGTTTGTGGATATGTAATATTTCAGTATGGAATTTTGAAAATAAAATTTGGAAGGAAATGCTGATAGTTGATGTCTCCACATCTATAGTTCTTGTTCATTTCAGTGTGTGTAAATTCTGTCTGCTGGTATTTATTTTTTTATTGCTGTTGGCAGAATGGTAGTGATTTTGTTTTCTAATAATAACCAATGTTCAAATGGTAAATTCTTTCTATTTGAGATCTGTTTCAAAAGATCATTGCTGCAATATATAAAAAGGGAGAGCAATCAAACTTTCAAATTTAATGATAAAAATCATATGACTTTAAAACTAAGAATTATTTGTTTATGTTGATTTCATTGATATTCAGATAGATGAAGCAATGATCTTAAGGGGGATTTGCCCTCTACCATTTTACCTCCTTATTTTGCTATAGAATACATTTCTCCTTCACTCTTTCTTAATTTTAAGTTTTAAACAATGTAAATATGTTTTCCTTTTGCCCTTATATTGCTTTTATTTTGCTTTGAATCCTCCAATTGTGTTTAAAAAAGGGAGATAACTGCTCTGTTACAATAATCTAACTGTATGTTTGCTATTTTGACAGGGATGAAGAAATTTGAATATAAGGGAAAACAGTGGCATGAGGAATGCTTTGTGTGTATGGTCTGTAAGCAGCCAATCAGAAATATGAGCTTCATCCCCCGGGACAACGAGGCGGTCTGCGTCCCCTGCTATGAAGAACAGTTTGCTCAGAAGTGCTCTAAATGTAATGGGGTAAGATTTCCAGTTTCTAGGTAGGATAAAAGTTAAGTTAATTGTTGATTTCAGTTTAAGGCAGTTAGATATTACAGTAATTGATATTCATAACTTTTTAATGAATTAATTGTCCCATGATTTTCCATATAAGGAAGTAAAAAAGTTTGAAGATTTTACTGATTCATAATTTAAGGATATATCTGCATTTTCCACGAAGTTTGTTTTAAGATTTTCTGTCCCCCCAAAAGATGAAATGTATATGAAATTCATTTTGATAGGTGATTAATAAGGGAGGGGTGTCCTACAAGAACTCGCCATGGCACAGAGAGTGCTTTACCTGTACCCAGTGTAATAAGGAGCTGGCCAAAGAGAAGTTTACGTCCAAGGATGACAAGCCATATTGCGCCGATTGTTATGGGGAGCTGTTCGCTAAGAAATGTTGCCGTTGCTCCAAAGCTATAACTGGTAATTTGCAAATATTATAGAAAAAAAGGCATATTACAGTAGCCTGACTTTTTTTTCAAAAAACTTGAATTGTTTGGTTCTAAAATTTTAATACAGGTAACTTGTACTTTGTTTGGAAAAGTCACTGTGCTATTAGAACATTTGCTGGAATATTAATAATAAGGTATAAATTGACCCTGCATTGGATCTTAAAAAAAGCTGCAGATTGAAAAAGGTGCAGATATACATTTAATTTCATTGCTAAAGTATGTTTGTTATAAATACTGTATGTTTTTGTTTTAGATTTTGATGGTAAGCTGTCGGGAGTTAAATTCCGACATTCACATTATACCTTTTCTCACAAACAGCTGATTTTAAAAAATATATATAATAATCCTCTTTATCTTGGTTTCTACTCTGTGCACAAAATACAGTGGAATGCATTTTACCAACAACAACAACAAATTAGAGAGACCAGACATGCCATGTCATTAACTCTGGCTCAGTGCAAGGACCTTACAATATCTTGAAGATTTATCCTGTTAATTTTATTTTAATGGATCATTATCCTTTCTGTGACATATCTATGCATGATTGCCTTGAATTGCAAACTAAAGAATGAAAAAATATCAATGGTATAATAAGAAATGCACATGAACTATTTTTTGTAACTATATGATAGATATAATTATATTGAGCTGTCATTGAATTCTCTACAAGATAGGTAACTTAGATATTTGATTTTTAAATACTAGTGTAAATGTTAGAAAGGTTTGTGTGTATCTATTGTAGAGTGAAATAGAATTCAGAAATACATTTAGAAAACTCGGTCATCTTTTGAAGATTAATTTTTACATAAATAAATCAAACTTGTATTTCTGATAGCAGATAAGAAATGATGTTAGCTAGGGATGATTACTAGAGTATTTAATATATTCAATTGGAATGAGAATAAAATTTTTTTTATTTAAATATTTCAGGTTTTGGAGGAACCAAGTTCATCTCCTTTGAGGATAGACACTGGCATAGCGATTGTTTTGTGTGTTACAAATGTAACACATCCATGGTCGGGAAAGGTTTCCTTATGAATGAAGGAGACATCTTGTGTCCCGAATGCGGCCGTAATTAGAAAAATTAGAACTATCAATAAATATATTTTAATTGCTTTAATGGCAGATACTATATTCTAGATCTTTCACTCTTTTATTTATATGTAGTTATTTTTGAAAGGTTGATGTTGACTATTTCAGATGCTTTATTTTTGTTTTATTGGAATTTTTAAGAAGTATATCTATTTATGTGTCTTTGTTTTAATTTATACTTCTGGATTATTCATGAAGATCTCCATTGGAGATTTAGAAAGATTGTGATCATGAAAAGCATGCAAAGATAGATAACTCTTGCCAAACAAGTTTGTACTGTTGACTTGTGTGGAGTTCCCTCCCTCTGCCATATAAAATTTTTATATGTATTAAAAAAATAACATGTTGTAGTTTTTTCACATTTAAACACAATGCAAGGCATTTGAAAACATTGTATTGTTTTGCTAAAATTTAACTGACTGCCATTTTTGTTGATATTGCTTATGTTTGCAATGTTATTATTTTTATTAAAAATTTTTTTAAAATACTTAGTCATATAAAATGCAATTTCATTTAAACATCTGCAAGTGATTGATATGGATGTAAGCAAAGTGTATTCTATATATTGCTTTGTTATTTCGCATTTAAAAAGATAAAAATGTTTATCAATTGCTTAAGTTTTGTTTTATCAAGTGACTTCAAAAACAAAAAAGTTTTGAGTCATTTTGTAAGTTTAAATGTCCTTGCACTGCCATTATAAACAAATATTTACTGTATAAAGATATCAATTTTGCTCATGCTTATTTGCATTTATTTTCTTAATAAAATCTGTTTTTATTTTATTTTGACTTTGTGATATTCTGTTCCTCATATTGATTTTTTCTATTTAAAAATAAAAAAGATACCGTTCCTATAGTTTTATTCTTCTGTGGGAAAAAAATTTTAAAAAAAATGCATTGGCATCACCTGTGTTAGATTTGCTATAATGAATGCTTTTTAAATATAGCTACATATATGTCACAATTTAAATATTTTTCCTGCATATTATGCTCATGCATAAATATTGAATTTGATGTTTGAAATTTTCAGAATTGTTTTGATTTATTTCAGTATTAATTTTTATTGTTAAACGAGTGTTTTGGATATATAGGTACTACAATGTGTCACTATTATGTCACTCGTTCAGATTATGGATTGTTATATTTTGGTTTTCTTGTAGTACTGTCATGAATTGAACCAATGGTTACATTTTCTGTATTTGCCATAGTAAGCTACTCAGACTGATAAAAGCGTAAGAAAAAGTTTTCAGTCATCAAAGCTTTGAGGAATATGATGAGAAGTGAACAATAATTTAGACATGTACATGTATTTGTGACGAGAATAGATGTACTGTTGGTGTCATATGTACCACCATTAGTGGGATTGAAGATTATTTTTTTTAATTTAGCTTCATCATTGATACTGCAAAATTCAGCTACTTGAGCTGCTATTGAAAAATTAATGTTAAAACTGTGTAAAATCTTTCCTTTTTACAATCTGTTTATTTCCTGTCAATCTCTGTCAATTTTTCCCTACGTACTGCCATAAGTCTGCCCTTTCCACATAAAGGCACATCCTTATCATTGATTTATGTGCTTCCAACGTTCAGTTGCCTTGGAATTTGCTATTTAATATGAAATTTAAATAAATTGTACTGGTGGATATTTATGTCTGTTTCAGAATAAAATCAGACATTTTCTGATCAAGTTTTATGTATTTCATGTAAGGTGGATGTTAATTATAATAAAGCTTGATAAAAATGATAATGTCTTTTTTTTTTAAATAAATTTATCTTTTTGTGTCAAATTGCCGAAAGAAAGATGACCTAAAAGCAGTTGAACACTTCAGGGGGAATAACTCTAAAAATTACCTTTTAAATATTATTCTGTTTTTCTTGGGATTATGTCTCTTGGATCTTGAAATTGTAGCGTAATGTGAAAATTTTTGAGAGGGATATTTGTTTTTTAAAGTAGGGAATGAATGAGAATTTCAAGATTTTTTTTTAAGCTATAATATGTTCAGTCTTAATTACTTCGCTACTTTATGCTTCAGATATTCATGTTATACTTGCATTAAAATATTTTAAGAAATTAAAAGCAAAAACGACTGCGGTGAAATATCTACCAATTGAATAAAATTACTTGTTTGATCGTTCACGTACGTTGCTACATAGAGCGAGATACGTAAGAGGACCAAACATCGAATTTTAATTATAATTCAATTCACTTTATTGACAGTTACCATGTCGGCATACAGTCATGAACAATAATAACATAAAACAAATTAACACGATTAATACATGCATATACACATTGACAAATGTGAGGTAAACAAAATAATGTTGAGTATATTCACATATTTCTAAATATTCTTTTCTGGTGTCAAAGCACTTTTTCAAGAAACAACATATCCTTCTAGCAGTTGTAATATTTGTAGGATTGACAATTTTTCTAATGGAATTATCACTAGTATATGTGTTTACATTAAATATATCAGTGTACTTGCATCTATATTGGTCATACTTTGAACAGTATAGAACAAAATGTTTTTCATCTTCAATAAACAATTTACATGAATAACATAGACGTTTATCTCTAGGAATAGGGGTTTACAGTATCTACCCATTTCAATATACAATGGATGAGCACTGATCCTTAATTTTGTTAATACAGATCTATAACTTTTTTCAAAGGTAGCTTTAAATAACTTTGCTATTTTTATTCATTTGGACTCACAATTTTGCTATAAAAAAGCTAACTTTCCGGAGTCTGATTTGCTTCTATTTTTCAATTGTTCATGTATCTTTGATTTGGTAATGCTCTTGTAATTTGATTTTCAAGGTTGTGTGAGAAATATCCAATAAAGCGATATTTAATTTTTGTTGTAATGAAGACAGTTTTCTTTGCCAAGATATTCTAGATACAAGTTTTTTGTCTTCTTTAAATGCAGAAGTATAATATAATACTTAAAATTAATTATAACAAATAAAATATTTTAAAAGAGGTTAATAGTGTTCACGCCAGGGGTTCCTTATAACCTGCTAAAGTATGGGACGGGCCGGACTATTGGTTTTAATCAGATTTATTTTTTTTCTTTTGAGAACACAGCTGGAACTAAATAATGACCATAAAATCTGGTTACAAATTTGTCTTTTCTTCTATTCATACATTACATCAAAACGATTGAGTTAGTCTAGGTTTAAAGGTATTTTGAGTGTTTAGTTCACCTTATTGGTGTCAAATGTGAATGAACACCTTGAAGAGCCTTGAAATGACATACTTCGGAAATGTTTCTCTGCACGTAAGCTTACCACAAAGTTCAGGGTTCATTCTGCGTTGAAAGTAAATAATATGCAAATTATAAATTATTTTTTATATCAATGGGCGAAACTGTATCAACGGGATATTAATAAAGACAGTACAAATATATATAAAAAATTGAACAATAATTCTCTAACGTTTTTTTTAAAACATATATACGTAGCGTCGTCTTTGAAAGGGGGGAGCAAGAAAAATAATAATTGACAACTTGACTGAAAAAATCTTTTTTCATGCCAAAAAGAGGAGGGGGATTGCCCAAACACAAAGATCCTATTTTGTTGGGGGGGGGGGGGGTATCGACAAGAAATTTTCAAAGGACGGAAGGGGCGCAAAATAAAGGAAGGAAGCACAAAATTAACATTAAACGATCAAGTTTGTCCCACTCCCCCACCCCGATCCAAGTTTTAATATTTCCAGCAAAAAATAAAAATAATATTTAAACAATATTTTTTTTCATAAATGGTTTTAACTTTTTTTCCAAAGAAATTATTTCAAGGAACTTTAGTTTTAGAAATAATAAGAAACCATTAAAATTTTGTAAATAACTTAAGTTTCCTTTTCATCATGCCGCCCGTCTGATGCAAGCCTTCAGTAGATTTCATCATACAGACCCCCGTACGCGGGCTTTTTGTCTTTATTATCTGTTACGTAATATGGTAAACAACTGTAGGTAATGAACAGGAATGACTCATTTTGATTGGTGCGTACCACAGTGGAGTCCAAAGTTCAACATGTCCACGGCGTGATCAGCGATGTTTTTACGGTAAAATGCGCACGTGTTTACAGGCGAACCGAATCGTGGTTCACGGAATTTTGAACAAAACATGAAGGATAGCTTGCAGAAAGTGCACTTCTCTGTGTGTGCTGGAAGTTTATACATGTGTTCTCTAGATGTGCCGGTGATTAAATTTTCATTCAAAGTTGTACTTGATTGTAAGTATATTATTTCATCATACATTGTAAGCAATACCACCAGGTTTTAGCTCCCGAAGTGCAAAAAATTATTAAGAAAAATCCTATACCAACAACTAAAAAGTTAAGAGCGTAATTATATGAAATTAAAAAGATCTTCAACAGTTCAAAACTCCGGGATTAGTACTCAGTTTTTTAATATAATAATTTAAATTGGTGCTTTATATCGTTTATTGCATATCTATATTTTATTTCCGTTACAATATTCAGTTGCAAGCCTGGGTACTTACTGATTGAATTAAAATCTAAAATTTTCCAAATTAAATGCCTTAATTATGCAGGACATATTGAAACTTTTTTTTTTTTTTAGAAAAATGCTTGAAACTATTGCTCTGCATTTTCATCAATCAGTGAGAAATCTAATACTATCTATGGAATAATCACACGTCTTAATTGCTTTACTGTACCAATAATTAAAATGTGAAATCGGGTACATTTTTCAAGTTATGATACCTAACGAATGAAATATAACCTATATCATATAAGGCAATAGTTAATGACAATATATTGATCATGAGACAATTAAATAGCTGTCAATGCACATGCTTATGCAGCATGCTTTTCCAGGTGTAAACAAAGTAGAGGTCAAACTTATGAATATGCAAATGATGTAGGGGAATTTTACCTACCTTTGTTACCTACATTGTACATGGCCTATTGCGAACGTGATGGCAACCTTGATCAACTGAATATCATAAGAAGAAAAAAATCGCAGGTGTTTTTATACGCGTTTAATCTTTTTTACATTGTGCAAGTATTATCTCAATTATGTAATACATTATATGACCTGATTTAAGATAAACATAGTTTTTGTTAAACGACCTTGATCGACAAACTAAAAATAATTGCAAACAAACCAATAGGATTATCATTATCAGACGTTAACCTGATTAAAAAAATAGTATAAATTTAAATCGGACAAAAAAAAAAAAAAAAATAAAGACATTGTCAGGATCTGATGTTTAAAAAATAATGTTCTGAGAGGATTCTCGGCAGAATAAACAGAAACGTGTTTGACCTGTACATGCAATGGTCACGCTCGTGGAATTTGGACATGCATGCGTGTTATCACTGTGTACTAAGCTAAGTCAGCATGTTCGCCCTAACCCTATTTAATACACTTTATAACGCTATTTTACCTTTTTAGGAGCCTTGAAAAGACGTATAGGAGCATGATGCAGTCTGCAACTAAACGTTACGATGTACCCCGGGAGGAGACCGGCGGGGAAGTGAAGGGGATGGTGCTTGTCTTGATATGTTATTTCTATGGAATATTACTTTTCTTCCTATTTGGAGCTGTAACAAAAATTGGACAGTTCTTCTTAAGAAAAGGTAAGTTTCCCAGCGGCTATATATAGTCTCATTGGGATCTCACAAATTGACAGTGTCAGATGAGTTAATTTTCAGTTTTGTTCATGCTTTTTTCACTATCGATAAGTAGATTCAAAATACCCTAATTTTGCGGAATTGATTTTTTAAATATACATAATGAAAAAGTGTAATGCATATACAAAATTAAATACAATTTGAATCTTTAATTCCAGTTAAAGACCAAGTGAAGGAAGTACAAGTTTGGAAAATGGAGGAGAAATCTGATAAATATGACATAAATCACAATGTCCGGCATGCAGATAAACATGTCTGGATTGGGCAGCGATGACCTGTGACGTCATCACCTGGACATTCCATGTGCCAAAGTATGCTGAAATAGGGCTTCATCTAACAAAAATGTGGCTTAGTGCAATATAGTTCATATTCCATTCCCAAACTGTGAGGATGATTTATGAAATGAAAGAAAAAGGAATCTAAAATTCGTTTTTGGAAGAGTTGAATCTCAAAATTTCACGTCCGCTAATTCTGAAAAGAGCCATCCTAGACAGTTTCCGTGATGACTATTCCATCGCGCTCTTCCTTTTGGTCAAACCAGTTGACCAAGATATACTTGACTGTGACTCTCAGAACAGAATATTAGTACCACTGTACCTCACTGTAGTGATGTGACAAATTGATACCTTGCTCACATTCCATTATGTATATGTATTTGTGATAAAATCACTCATGTCAACTGACAATACAATTTATACCTTTATATATTTGTTTTACTTCGTTATTAAATTGTTTTTTCAAACTAGATACGGATTTATTTTTTTCTTTTGAAACATTCTACTTAGATTTCCGACCAGAGTTTTCGATTGAGCATCGCTTAGTTCAGACTCATATGGTATTGAAGTACTCCAGAATTCAAGTTTCCATTCTCAAAATATAGATAAATGCAAGACTACTTGCATAATGATTTCAAGGGGAAAACAAGGGGGGGAGCTCTTGAAGAGCAGCGGGGTCAAAGTTACTCAGGTGAGCGTTTTGGCCCATGGGCTTCTTGTTTACAAAACTTATGCCTAGTACGAAATAATTATAATGCTTTATAAAACGTCAAGAACCGAAAAGCCATGATTAGTCAAATTTATATGGAAGCATCCTCTGGTATAGTGTAGATTGAATTTTGTTCAAATCATGGCCCCTGGTTGTAGGGTTGGGCCACAAAATGCGATCAAAATTGTACTAAGGAATATAGATAAGATAATTTTATTTTCCAATTTTGGGCCCAGAAGGCATACAAGCTTTTTACAATGAAAAGATAGAAAGTTCTGAATGAAAGGTTACATACACACAATATAAACACACACACATGCATATATATGATATAATCCATAAAAGTAACTTTAGGTGCAGCAGTTGGGGTTATCAAACTGCAATTATGTACATAGAGAAAAAAAAAATTGCTGATGGACAACTACTAGTGACTCAGGTGAGCACTGTGGCCCATTGGTCTCTTGTTTCAATGTCTGAGACCTCGGCCTCATACAGACAAACTGCAGTCAAGGGCATAAAGAGAAGGTTTATCCCGATTTCCAATCTCGTTCAATGTTTCTTTTTTTTTCTTTTTTTACAACCAATGAATATGTAAATAATATATATAAGCTACCATGTGATAAAATATGTCTTCAAAAGTTTTGAGCGAGGTTGGTTTGAAGGTTTGAACTTATTTTATTGTATATAAAATATACAAAAGGATTTCAACTTAATCAGTAGATCTTTTCTTTACTATACATACACAATAAATACAATGATTGTCAAACAAATAAATCGAAATAAATTACAGTTACTAAGTATGTTGAAAAAAGTTTTACATGTTATGGTATAATAGATACATGTATATTAAACTCACACTCAGAGTACAGAGTCTACCAGAGCTCTATAATGTTACATCTACAATGATTATAAGCAAGGTTAAAGATGTAGAAGGAAAACGGACCAAAAATAAAATGCCCTTCGTCTATATTCTTTCGGGAATTATAGGTAATTTTCAGATTGTTTGTGTGTTTATTTCTGTCAATATATCTCAGTTATTCGGTCAGAAATTCACGCAAACCTATTAAAAGAGAATCGAAGTATAATCAGGCGCGTAGCTGCCTATACGCAAATACGCAAGTGCGTACACATCAATTTCAAAAAAAAAAAAAAAAAAAAAAAAAAAAAAAGAATTATTCGGAGAAAAAAAATCTCAGTACCATCCAAGAAATATGTTTAAAATTAGAATTTCAAATTTTATCATACAGCCATGATAATTTAAAATTAATTTAAATCGAAAAGTATTCACTTCTATAAATATTACTATGCCTTTTATTTTACTATGTCTTTTATTTCCTAAATAAAAGCTTAATGGCCCAATTTTTATTTTGCAAGAAATGAATGAAATATTTGGTAAAACTCAGGAGCTTAAATCTAGGCCCTCATCAGCAGACACATAGTATCGCGGGGGGGGGGGGGGGGGGCTCCACCCCAGCTTATTTTCAAACCTAACCTTTTACTATTGAAAATGTACATTGAAAGGGTGGACCCCACGGTTTCTTGTAGCATTGTTAAATCATGGTAATTTGGTAATGTTTTAATAAACTTTGGTTTGTGAAAGTTGGACCCCCCCCCCCCAAAAAAAAAAACCCACAAGAAATAGGACTCCAAATTTGACTTCTTTCTTCCTTGCTTGTCAAAGTTTTTAAAGCTGTAATTTTTTCCTGGCTGGCATAAACTATATTACTTGTCTGACCAGAGCCCTTGACACACTGAGGGGGGGGGGGGGGGGCTCAAGACCCCCACCCCACCCCGGCCTGCCTTCCTCTGCGTACACATCATTTCCATTCTGGCTACGCGCCTGATAATAATTTGAAATTAAATGCCTGAAAAAAGATAATGAATTCATCGACTTCTATCGCTGTGCTGCATGCATCTCTCGAGCAAGTTTGAGACTGAATTCTTCAGATAGGTCTAGACTTTTTAGTATGCTTGCACACATCCAGATGTTTATTAACAAGCTAAAACAAAAACACTAAACTTTTCCAAACCCGAAAAACCTATTTCGTTGTGGTGGTTGGGGGGGGGGGGGGAGTCACTTTCCTTTAAGAACCGTTTCTAGGTTCCAAGGTCTTAAATTTTATAAATGGTCTTCACTTTTCAAGGTCTCTGAATTTTTAACTATAATACCGTTACAATCCCAAGAACTATTATCTTCGCTAGCCAAGGGTTTATGATCCGCTACTCACTAAACCCTATAGGATTTGTGAAGAGAGTAGCGGATCAGAAACCCTTGGCTAGCGAAGATGAGTAACTAGGACTTTTAGACTTTTTGACCCTCAGTGAATCGGCAAGTTTCTTTGATTAATGATTACTTCGTCTTTTAGATGTTTGAGCCTACATATAAATGTCTACAATTTTTTAAGGACATGTGAGATGTTATTCTAGACCTTATATTTTTTATCCTTTAATGAATAGGCATGTTTACTGATCGCATATTACTTCAGTGGAAAAATTTAATTATTCCGTATTATTATGGCCATATATGGAATCAATACATTGATTCTTGAGCGTGAGGTCTCAGCCTTTGATTTCAAGAGTAAAATTGTTAGGCTAAAGAATGGAGGGAATGCATGCATACTTACATTTAAAAAAATATATTGCATGTTTGACTGTTCTATAGCTGCAGAAAATCTAATGGCCTGGGCACCCCTTTTCCAACCCGCTTAATTTGTTGCGTGCATCATCAATTTATGCAATAAATATCCCGGAGAAACTAATAAGATGTCTTAAAGTAAAAGAATAAAAAAAAAAGAAATTTGTAAACTGAGAGGATCTATAAATATATTCTCTGCAATTTGAATAATTCATTATGTTCACAATGTAAAAACTGTCCAGAGAGATTTCTTAATGTAGTAACTAGTTTTTTTCCCCCCTAAGAATATATTTCAGGGTAATATGGTTTTGGCCTCCGACGAAATATTAAACTGACAGCTGAGTGTTCAAGGACAGAGCAACGAAACCGAGTGAAGGTTGCGCTAAAAGTGCTAATAAACAGAAAAAGCGGTTATAACCAATTTCAAAAGTAGTCTGATATTACGCAGTAAAACGAAGTTTAAGGCCGTGTTGAAATCACCATTAAATATATTCTTTGATAAGGCTTGGACTCCATTTGTTTGATTTCTTATGTCTAAATGTGGACTTACATACAATTTGTTTTTTTTTTTGAGTTTCGCGTTTACATAATTATGTATTTTAATTCTTTATAGCGTATAAAGTATTTTTTTTTTTTTGGAGGAGAAACATTTAAAGAAACAAAGATAAACTGATTATTCAGTACTCTGCTGGTAACTATTATTACAGTATTCATCGAAATCAGAGAGTGATCTATAGCAGCATTATCTAATGTTTAATGAAGTCTACTTCAACAACAGGCTTTTTTTGACATCAGAACAAAACTAATAGGTCGAGAGAATTTTAAGAATATATCTATAATAATCATAGTGACATTGTTCATCAAAATTAATATCTTGCTGGAGAGTAAACTCAGTAAGGCTTATTTATACTGGAAAAGAACTGTAGAATCGAGTACAAGACAAAGAGACAGAATAATGGGCGGACGGACACCTAATCATCGTTAGGCTAGTTATACTTACATTTAATATCTGATACAAAATTACATCAGACCTTTATCTTTATCAGTTCTAGAGAAATGGGCTGCGAGAGATGCTGGTAGTCATGCCTTTTTGTCGCATTTCTTGCATCGCTTATAAGCTGAAAAAAGGGTATATCAAATGGAATCTGATCATGGAAAAAAAAAATTAGTCAGACATTTGCAGCATCGAATTCTCATTAAAGTTTCAACATTCTTTTCGGAACAGGTGATGATTCCTTCGACATATTGATATTAATGTAATAAATAAATAATGATCATAGATTATGTACACGTATATCAAAGGATCTGGCGTTATCTGCAGACGACTAGTTGCCAGACGAGTGGGACCATATATGGAGGTGAAAGTCCAGATATCAACTTCCTGTCAAAATAGCAAGGAGTTAGGAAGTTATAAGTTCAACGTCCATTTTTGATGAAAGTTTAAACAAATATTAAAATATGATTAGTTATTTCAACTTAATTCTTTACTAGAGAGGCTTATCCTATAAGCATAGTTATAAAATATTTGATACACAGCCTGGAAAAGCCCGAATTTTTGCCGCATTAATCAAAATTAAATGAATTAATAATGCATATGAATTTAGAATTAAGATCACACTTTTCCACAATCCCAAAAATGGTTGTGCAAAGATTGTGTGTGAGTGTGCGTGGAAAGCGCAATACATGAATCTTGGATTAGTCTAGATTAATGTAGATTGTTTTCGTAAAATATTTCTTACTAATTTGCGATATAAAATGAAGAAAATGCTCATTCCACAAAAATCAAAAATGACTGATTGAAATGAAACAGTAATTAATTTATGCAACAATTCGTTTATGTAGCGGGTATAGCCCCCCCCCCCCAACAAAAAAAAAAAAACCCAAAACATTATAGAGAGTTGTCCTTAATTAGCATTTAAGGGCTGCTTTATTTTAGTGGAAAATGTACAACGGGGAACAAAAATAAATTAAACCTAAGATTCTGTATACAGGAGAAAATTCTTACACATCTAATGACTGCCCGAGTTAAAAGAGATACACAGGTAATCATTTCAAAGTTGTTGAAATTGAACTTTGGACTTCTTAAGGTTAGGATGTTCTGTGTCGTTCTAGGACAAATAAACAAG